CGTGTCACACACATATTGTTATAATGCAACACATGAGTATAAAGGAAGAAGAATAAGGATTAGGATTATACAGTTTGTGGTTATTTTCTGAAAAACTGCAACCTCTGGTGGTTGGATTATTAAAAGTGTCTATGAAACTGAATGTTAACTCATGAAGCCATTTAAAGCAACAAAAAACACTTTTAGTTTTCACCCCTTGTTTACATTTTCATTATTATTTAATTATTCTGTTATTACTCCACCCATCTGCATCATTACCTTTTCTCTGTGATCCTCTGCCTCATCCACTCATTCCTTTGTTTCTCCTCCATCCAGAGAGCCATGCGTGTTAGGAGCCACTCCATGGAAACCATGGTTGGGTCCCACCGCCACCGCAGCCCAGGGGTAGGGGTCGGGGTCCCGGCCAGCGTGAGTGGAGGAGGGCTGCCGCAGAGCAGCATTGAATGCACAAAGAGCACCTTCACTGTGAGTTCATGGGGATTACTGACACCTGTGTGCTATATATTATACAATACAGACAAAAGCTATTATGCCCAGTGAGCTATGGCATTCTGGGGGAAATGTAAAATTATAGTTTTAGCTATAGTTACTGTGAAAAAGGAGAAACCTCATCTCTAATCTGTGATCTGCAGCCTCCTGTTTTGTCAGCCAAGTCTCCTCTGAAGAGTCCAGTGAAACGGCGCTCAGGCCTCTTTCCTCGCCTCCACTCCAGCACAGACAGCCCGTCAGACAAACACACACGAGGGTGGGTGGTATAATTATAATAATGATGTCAAATCATGGACACTAACAATACAAATTTGGTGTCCATTCAAACAGGCGACAGAAGTTCAGGAAGTCATCGTGTTGGCTTTGTTTCAAATGTGTTCTTTTGTCTGCAGTGACCAAAAGACTTCAGATGTCTTCCTGCCAACTCAAGAAGTGAGGTCAGAGACATCATCCAATCCCAGTTCACCTGAGATCTGCCCCAACAAAGAGAGGTAACACTCCTATTACTGTAAGTCTGACAGATCATTACAGATGTGTTAATAAAAGACAATCATTGTGGATACAAATGTCGATTACAAAGCCACACTCGTATCCTGGTTGTTCTTCTGAGGCTGTGGTGAAGCATGTCATTTTTCTCTTCATCTCTGTTTTTGTCTTTTCAACAGGCCATTTGTTAAGCTGAAAGAGTCCAGTGGTGGCAGGCCAAACATCTCTCGTTCTTCATCCAGCACCAGCAGCTTCAGCAGCGCCACAGGAGAAACAGAAACTCTAGAAGAGACCGAGTCAGTGAGTACAGCACCAGTCGACTCTTATTTTATATATATATATATATATATATATATATATATATATATATATGATGTCAATGATATATATGATATACTGTATATATAAAATGTCCAAAAAAGTCACAACGTTTTCTCCCACCTTATCCACTGCTTACACTGCCGCAAGCGTGTCCTCTAAAAATACTTAAGGTAAATGGTAGGAGAGAACACAACTAGAAACTAGAGTCCTACACTACACTAGAGTGTGTGGTTGTTAGTTTTATCAAAAGTTTGATGGATGAAAATGTAACTACCAAGAACTTCTTTATAGAGAGTGTTGACTTCCTGCATTTAGTATAAACGTATCCATTCATACACATTTCACTGATGCAGCAACAGGAGCAATTTGGAGCCTTGCCCGAGGACTTCAACATGTGAATGCAGGAGCTGGGGACTCCCCAATCACCACTGATCCACAGCTGCCCCATAGGAGCATCCGTTTGGATAGTTCTATGGAGCAGCTGCAGCATACACAAAAAGCAGTGTTTCTTTAATGGTTGTGTCCTGGAATACATATAGATGAAAAGCCTCCCAGAGGTTTTCAGCAAATATTCCAAGACTGCCTTCGGTCAAACTGCAAGTGTTTATGGCTTTGACACTTCTGAACAAACACGCTAATAAGCAAGTTTTAGAGATAGTGGTGGGGATTTTTTTATTTTATTTTATTTTTTTTACTTTTTTTTAAACTGCTGGCTTAAGCTTTTCAAAATGGAATATGTCCTTGTAACTGGTAAATAGTTTTTTGCCATAAAAGAATGTGGTTTAACCTTTATTAAAGCAAAGGTTAGGATGGCTCCCTAAGCATCCTTTGAGTTGAACTCTGGTTGTGCATACAGTACATTCAGACATTAAGGGCTTACATCACATCCTTGATTCTCTGAACCTCCTCAGTGTCAATGCCCTCTGCAACTACAATATAATAATGTCTGCTCCCTCTGTCCCATAGGCCAGCCATCAGTCCATAGGGTCCTCATATGCCTTTAGTCCTGCCCTCAGTGTTGACTGCCAGGTACCAGGTACCCCTGTAATTATGTGTCCTAGTCCAACAGGTACATAGTCCCTCAGAGAGTATTCAGACCATACTGTAAATATGTGTTCTTTAATAATCATTTCATTTCATTCCATCATGTTTCGGTATTGAGCAGATGGGAGAAGTAAGACTTCACCAAGGTCAAACTTGAAGTTCAGATTCGACAAAATGAGCCACTCATCCACAGCTGTGAGTACTGTAATGCCCTCTGGTTTGCATGTTTTGATAAATGTTCCAATAAAGATGTTTTCTTGCTGCAAACATTTGGACCTTTCAAGGATTTACATTTTAAATTATTACAATTAGTGTAGCAGGTAAGACAAAATAAGAACAAGTCTCACCTTTACTCACTATGCATGTTATGTCAAGATCCCTGTCATTTATAAAAAAAACTGAGCTGGTGTTGGACAATAGTCTTAAAATATGCATGCTGTAAGATAACACTCTCCTCTGGTCTCTTTTGTTATTTTCTGTCTCTTTTAGTCTGAGTAGTTTTGTGGATTTGGAAAAAAAAGAGACTTTCGCCTCAAAGTGGCTGCACAGGCTGATTGATGGAGCTGCAAATACAATACCACACCAACCACGCCAACCAGACTGCTTCCTCAAGCCAAGGATAATATGAAAAGATTACCAAGTGTAAGAGTTCCTACCCTATGTAGACTAACTGACAATACTGTGAGTGTATAGTGAGAAAAAGCAGCTGAAATGTGGCTTTATTTTGAACCTTCCTTTGGGTACAAAAGGTAGCCCAGACTTTGTCTCATTACATGTAGCTGTATCTCAGTCATTCTGTTCACTGTACAAAGTCCTAGCATGGTGGGCCAAGCTAGACTCTGCCTAAGCTCTTTCTCAAGTTTATAACAGTAATGGTCTCAAAGAATGCTAACATGAGACTATGGCTGAACTGTTAGGTGACTGCTGAATGGTCAGAGGAAAAGACATCTTTAAGAATAGTTAGACATCAGGATAATCCCTTTTGCCTTTAAAACTTGATGATACATTTGGCCACAGTTTCTCTTTAGGGGAAAGAAGTGTGCACATGACAAATGCCCAGATATGTGACATACAGTAGCAACATTTTGAAGACACCACTGGGAGTCTTAGTTGACTCTGTCAGGATCTGAGTTTGTTCTTTGCTTATAAAATGCCCATTAAAGGAACCTCTTATTTTGGAGATATTTTTGTAAACTTTGCTAGCTGCTGCATTGTGTCTGCTGCACTTTAATCCAAACATTGCTGCAATTCACTTGATACAATAACATGATCTCTGTGTATTTAAGGGTTACTTCATATTACTGAACTCAAGTGCTTGGGCAGTGGAAATGTCTTTATTTAGGGAGGAGTTGGGTACACTGCCAACTCCATTTGCCATAAGCTTAATTTAGCCAAAGCTGCGCCTTACAATCTTGCAAAGCCTGTTTCACCACTGATGGCTCGGCCTGTCCGTCTGTCTGTCCCTGTCATTATGTGAGAGGTTAAGAATCTACTGGATCCGGTTACAGCACAGTTGTTAGTAGCAGATAAACCCCCACATATGCTAAGAATAGACTTCATGCACTCACCTTCTGATAACTTCCATAGAAACTTTGTATGCTTTCATATCCAGTTAAAACAGGAAAACTTCTAAACAGGAACTTCTCCAGGGTCTGAAGTGTCCCAGCGAGCTCAAGATGATGACTTGAAAAACAGTGCTTTAGGTTAAGTTAATCTTTGTATCACCTTCAGAATCAACTCTTTGAATGTGAACTTTGATCGTTTTTTTTTTATTTACAGTCTTTGGTTTGAAAAAAAAACTTTTTAATTTATTTTTTAAATGTATTTTGCAAAGCCAATTGCATAAAAGCACAGCAGGACAATAGGTTAGCTCCAGTTCTCGACTACTCCATAACATTAGACTGCAGCTGCACAAACTAGAACTAGCAGCACAAAGTAGAAGCTACTCAAGAAAAAGCTTAAAGACACACTAATGTGTTTTCTATGCGACCAAACAGCCAAGCCTGTAGGTTTTTTGTCAGAATGTTGATGTACTCTTACAGCTGTTGGAAAGAGTAGGGTGAACAAGAGTGTGAAATCCCTGAGGGTTTAAAGGGTGAGTCCAACAACAACAAATACTCTGCTTTATAATACAGGCATCTTTAAAATATTCAACAAGCTGTTCAGAGAGGTGAGAAGTACATTGACTGGACTGTAAGCATATGTGTGCTCTGTTAGTATAGACTGGTGCTTACACCTTCAGAAAGGGAAGCATGCAGCTATGATACAAAGGCAGGATCTTCAGATATATTAGGTTTGTTGCAGGTATTGCCTGAAATTCTTGCAGCGTTTTCTCTGTTCATATGCTTTATTTATTCAATTTGTTTTGAGTCTTTTGCATTGATGTCATGTAAAAATGTAATTGCAAAGTGAACTTATTAAAACAGTGAAATAATTAAAGGATATATATATTAATTTAAATGATGTCAAAACAGGTAAATGTATTTTTTCTTGTATATGTTATGTCCTGTGCCATTGAGAATTTATTCTAAAATAAAATGTTGTATTTTGTGTCTATCATTTGTCATCCTGTTTTAAATTTCAAATAACCTTTTTTTTTGCAACACCTTCAGGGTGGTTCAGCTGCTCCACATGCTGTTAGTCACATTTGATGCATGAAGAAGGATTTAAGACTTTTTTATTCGTCAAAAAAAAAAAAAGGACGATCAGATCACACACTCATGATAGAGAAAAAAGACGCTCCCAGGTCCCATCAATCTATTTTAAAGGTTACATTAAGACATTCATAATCAAGTTGAAATGAATAGATAACTGATCTGCAGCTGACAACTTTGCACCTCTATTATGTTTTGACAACAGTCTGAAATTTGAGGGATGAGTACACAGTTGACTGGGGAGGCTCTCTGGTGGCTCCATGTTGACTCAGTGCTCCCTGGGAAATATCTGCATACACCACCTGTAACATTGTAAAAACATTAAATAAAGAAAACAAATGAGTACAAGGGTTTATGCCTGAACTGCACCAAATAATGTTATGCGCATATATGCACAAAGAGCATCTTGCTGTAAAATACAAAGTTCCATCACCTCAGTGTTCCTCTGGGGCTTTGGGGGTGCTGTAATATGCAAAACAAAAAAAACAATTTAGTTATAGACAGTAGTTTTGACAATGCTTAAATAACTTTTACCAGTAGAACAGAAAACAAGTTCTTAATAGTTTACCTCTCTGAGATGAGGAGCTACATTTCTGATTTACTGGTTTATGTTTCAGGGTTGGCAGACATGGTGTTGGAAGGTGCGGAGTCGGGTGTGGTTGATTTCTGTATAAGTCATCATGTGCTGGAACTGGCTGAGGCTTGACTTGTGAACTCATAAAACGTGCCAATCCCAGAATGATGGGAAGACAAAAAGACGCTCCAGCACAGACAAAAACTCTGTGCGATACACTCCTCTGCAATGGGAGAGCTGAGGGAGGAGACAGAATAAGTTAAGCATTTATACATGTCTGCCTCAAAACTGGAAATCAAATGACCCTCTTGTTATTGTATATTGTTTGTTACCGTGGTTATTGCAGCTCTGCAGTTCTTTTTCTTTGATATAAATAATACAACATGAAGTACACTGACATGCTTACACACCCATTCATTTGCACATGGCACCAATTATCAAAATATGTATCATTATGCATACCTGCAGTAATGTTCACATAAGTCCAATGCCCCTGAGCAGTTTCACCTTCGACCCATTTAACTTTACATCCATATGAACCTTCATTTGATTGGTCGACCCTGACAATATACAAAGTTAGTCGTGTTTCATTGGCTGAGAGCGTCGCGCTGCTTAAGCCATGCCTCACACTTTCCTTAATCATGTAATCAGTATTTTCTTCTGTTGAATTTCTCCACATCCAGTCCCCCGTCCATGTGTCTCCACAGTGCTTGACCACGCAGGACAAAGACAAACTGTCCCCTGCAGTTACATGAAGTGTCAAACGTCTCGCCAGGACAGTCTTGCTGCACTCTTCACAGAGACCTGGGAAAAGAAAGTGTCCTTTAGCAAATAAAAGAAGCTAATGTGTATATATAAATGCAATGAAGTCTGTTTTCATATCCCGACTTTTGACATGTTTCATACAGCAAGACAGTAGGTAGCTATGTAGGTACTTTATTAATCCTTTGCAGGAAATTACATTGTCACAGCAGCAACTGAAATCACAGTCAAGACACCAAACAAACAAAAAATAACAGATATCATTTAGAAATATCATTAAAAGACACTAAGATCAGTAATTTTTTCAAAACTAGACTAAAACTTGGGAGTTATAAATAAAATATATCCTACAAATGTAATTAACCTTAAGTGTGCAAAAGTATCCAGTGTGCAAAAATCTGAGTAAGTTTATTTATAAATAAATAAATATGAGTAACTATAAGTAGTAGTACAGTGTGTGAGGAAGAAAGTCTGAAAATATTAGTGTTAGGAAGGATTACAATTAAGTTATTATGACAAATACCAACTATCTCCAACAAACTGTGAAAGTCTTCAAGTGTTGAATTGATTTTACTGCAGTATCATTTGGTGGGATTTCTTCAGTTACCTGCATAATTAGGTGCAAGTAAAAACCTGCATAATTAGGTGCGAGTAAAGTTTTTTTTACTAGAACCTAAATGTTTAACAGTTGTTGTTTTTTTCCCGACAGTATCTGACTTACAATTAACACATTCAGAAATAGATTATTTTTTAATTGAGACTTACCAAAAAAGAATGTCATCTTAATGAAACACCTTACAGAATAACATTCATTTATCTACTGCAACAAAAGTGAATTAAAAGTTGAAAGATATTTTTCTTGTTTGACTGAGAACTCAGATTTTAAACATGTTACTTACCAGACTGAAGAAGGCAGAGACAACTGATGGTACTGAGAAGATAAGAATGTAATTTTGTGTTGGTCATGATTCATCGAAGGTTTTTCCTCCTCTGTATAGACTAAGTATACGGCATGTCAGGAAGGCTTCATTACTTGACTTGACTTAACTTGTTCTGAACTGCTTGTTTCTCTTTCTTAGGAATCTATTTAGTTCTCCTTTCTCTTACTTTCTTTTCCTGTTCTGGATCATCTACAGGCTTTCCATTATCCTGCTCTTTTTTCACAATAGAACTGAAGGAAGGAAGTGACCCACTAAAACCTACCCCTCAACAAACACACACACACACACACACACACACACACACATACACATACTTTCAGCGCCACGCACACACACACACACACACACACACACACACACACACACACACACACACACACACACACACACACACACACATACACATACTTTCAGCGCCACGAACACAGACACACAAACACACACACACACACACACACACACACACACACACCTCGTAAATGGGAACATAATTTTCAGAAAGGAAGGTCAGCTTTAAGGAAACCGCGATACAGAACAGGGGGGGGGGGGGGGGGGGAATTAAATAATATTGAAACTAAGTGGTTGTTTTGTTTGACTTTCCAGTCATGGAGCACTCTACTACAACACAGTCCTTGTCCAACCTTAAGCCTTCTTGACATTCATGCTTCTATATAATTGTTGCAGAAAACATCAGTCAACACGCCACAAAAGTAAACATTATAAATAACAAGATGGACTGCTTTGATTTCATTGTATATCCACTATAGAGAGAGACATATATAAATGCTTTTGACACCAATTAGAAAAATCCAGAACTGTTCAGGTCAACACAAAGATGACTTGCAATGTTCAGGGAATTCCATTCATCTCAGGTCTTACTTTAGTCACTGTAGAAAAAGCATTCCCATGTTTTTTGGCCTCTTACAACAGAGTGGTCTTGAAGTTAATGCTATGGGTCCATCCAGTTGGGGTAAAACCACAGGACCAGAAGGTAAGTGTCAAGTATTATTAAGCTGTGGTCAAATCATGACGTCAAACTTGTTTTTTCTCTAGTTATGGAGGTATCACAATGCCTGCAGCCCAATGGATCATTACATAATGCATTTTTTGTTTTTGTTTTTACAGCATGAATACGGTATATATATTTTTACTTAATTTTAACAACAAAATCTGTCAGCTTATCCGTTAAACTCACTTTGAGTGTATCAGAATCAGAAATACTTTATTAATCCCAGGGGGGAATTTGTTTGCTACAGTTGATCATAACACCAAAAATCAGCAGGAAGTACAGATAAATTCACAATATAAAATTAAAATTAAAATAGAAAAAACAATATAATAAGCAACCAAGTGAAAGCAATAATAAAGTAGTAATAATAATAAGCTATGTTCAAGCCCAGGTAATTGAGAATATAAACAATATTTACAAATATGAATACACACTGATGTATAAACAGCCTAGATATTGCACGGTTCATGTATAAATATTGTCCAGTTTTCAACAGATTGCACAGTTTTAGGAGGAACATAGAGGTCCAGGTAATAGTCCAGAAAAATTGCAGACTCAGTGTCTGAGTCTTAAATGTAAGAGTTATAGAGTCTGACGGCCACAGGCAGGAATGACCTTCTGTGGTGTTCTGTGGTGCATTGTGAGGGACTGAGTCTAGCACTAAATCGAGATCGTTGGTTGACGGCCTGAGACAACCAACAAGCATTTTGCCAGCACATCATGGAGTGGGTGAGAGGCATTGTCCAAGATGCCACGCAGCAAGGACAGCATCCTCCTCTCTGACACCGCCATCAGAGAGTCCAGCTCCGCTCCCACGACGTCACTGGACTTGACAGTACTTTGCTCAATATTAATTCAAGTTAACTTAGGGGAAGATGTGATGGCTCTACCAAAGAAGGACATCTGAGCTGGAGCTACACTTCTCAGTGGTTTACAATCAAAGCACTGACACAAGTACTTGTACTGAGGGGGTTGTGGTTTCATAGCTCCCCCATGAGGCCAGTGACTGTGACACAGCTGATGGTTGAATAATTTGTTATTTTCTGTAAGGATTGTTGCACTGTAGTATTTATCATTATTGTTAATATAACCCACTAAAATATTTAATATAAAGCAGAGAGAGATGCTCAACTAATGTCAATGTACCAAACAAACACAATGACACCATGTATAGGGTGCATTGAAGATGTAAATTGGCAAAATGTTGTTATCCAAGAGCAAACTATGTGATTAAGATATGGGCACATAACTATGAATTAAAAATATTCAGGGTATTTTACTCTTGTAGTTTTTCAATCTGCAAGACAACTATAGGCACACCAAAACACTCAAGCACATCCTATCCATTCATGGGTACCACCAAATTCAATCTCTGGACCTGTCTGCACCTCTTTTTTGTGTTTGCTGTTCTTAGAAACAAGTTACACATTTGTACTTGATTTAGTAGTGGGCCTACTCACCAGAAGAAAAACGGTAAGTTACCCAAAAAGAAAATACATTAATTCTCATATTAACTAAAATGCTGATTATCATGAACCAACTAAATGTATGTTTGGAAGCTATTATGTGTACAGTAGGCCTAGCAGTTAATAAGCTAGGCCTACTGTACTGAACTTGAGACGGGAAAAGAAAGCTGGATATGGAGAAAAAGACAGAGAAAGATAGAGATATAAAAGAGGGGAGTGGGAAGCTCTTAAACAGGACAGTGTAGAGTGGCACTTAGCTTGTGGTTACCCTTGGCCGCTGATAACCACACTAGTATCTTTACATGGAACTGAGGCCCATTGGCCCAAACACATTCAGGCACCTTAATACCACTTTAGGCCCCAGGGCTATGGATGCTACTCCCCCATTCCTAGAAGAAAAACTTGCTGTGGATATATGATGCATTACAGATGAAAAACCTAAATCAGACCTCTGATTCCTCATGAGTGATGCATTATGTATTTTTAAACTCCAAGTGAGGAAATAGAATAATTTCATTTTGCATTAGCCGTTTGAAATTCATATATGCTATTCTTTTTGGATACAAAAATGATTGTTTTCAAACTGAAACTCCATGCCTTAGCTTATTGTCCGTTGAAAAATTTGTGGAAGAAAAAAAAGATCACTATGTACACATGCTACTGAAATCCACTGAAAGCGTTTTTAAACCGCAGGTCACACCTACCCATTCACACACTGATGGTAGAGGTTGCTCTGTTAAGTGACCATCAGAAGTAACGAATCCAGTCAGGCATGCATACGCTGCTGACGAAGCAGCAGGAGCCAATCAGGGTGATGTGTCTTGCCCAAGAACCTATCGGACATGTTGCTGCAGGAGCTGGGGATCGAACCCCCAACCTTTGGATTGAGGGACAACCAATTCTACCAACTTAGCCACATCACCAACTGTTTTCATATAGCCTATCAGATCATCATGTTAAGAATCAACATGATTAAACTATACAGCATTTGATCGTGTGTTATAGGCCTAATCTTCATAATATTAAAGGCAGGGTTGGTCATTTCCTCCAGATACACTTTTCAAGATTTTGATTGAAATTGTCTTTAGGTCCTGACAGAAATTAATAACTCATCTTCTCTGAAAAAGGAACAAAGAAAATCCATCATCTGTTTCAGTTGTAAGCCTGTAAAAACTTCAACCAATGACTGCTACGAGGTACCAATCTGATGAACCAATCACACGCCTCCCTGTCTCCCAGCTCGTTCTCTACCCCATGCTGCACGAGCCCACACTCAAAGCATGAGCTGAGGGTCCGCTTCTGGAGCAATGGCACATGTGCATGTAAGTGAGGGTTCATGGCTTTTGAGGGTGCACAGAGGGGAGGGGGTGGGTGCAGATGGAGCACAGAGGGAATTCTACTTTCAAAATCATACTAGTTTTAGAAAATGACCAACCTTTACATCGGCCTAAACTTGTCATTGTATGGAGCAGTGGACATTAAGGACAACCTTGGAAAGGGGCCACATGTCATCTATGCAGGTGCACACATGGGCATTCCCGTACAACGTATAATAAAAATAAACCTTTGCACAGTCCTGCCTATTTATATGTGTATAGACTGTAAATATTACAGTTACAACATAGGCAAATGGAGCAGCCATGCAGTCTATGATTTCTACCCAAAAAAAGGTTAATCCTGGACTATTTTAACGGAAGGTAAAACCTCACAATAAAAGCTGCATGTCACTCTTCTTCAAATTGACATCATAACTGGTTGGTTTATGGTTTAGACCTGTAATCACTTCTCCTGTTTGTACGGGACATTAAAGATCCTTCCGTTGTGAATTTTCTAATGTAAGTCATGGTGAATCTGTATAGGCCTTTAATCGTTGGAAACTTGACTAATGAATGTTTACTGAGATTTGTTTTCTGTCAAGTTTGACTGTAGTCTGGCAGGTCGTTCTACAATTCTACAATTCACTTAGAAGACGCTTTTATCCAAAGCGACGTACAACAGAGAGTAAGTACAACACAAGCAAGGATCTAGAAAAAAGGGAACAATGTCAGTAAGAGCAAACGATCAGCTTTGAGTCTGATTGGACACACAGGTGCTGACAGGAAGTGACCAGAGACAAAGCACAACATTGAGTGCAGTTCTTGAGAGCTCTAATCAGGATAGAAACGATCTTATAAGTCGTCGTTATCAAACAAAAACCATCGTCATTACCATCATCATCATCAATAATATGGAGACCATCATCATTAAGTTAGTAGGTATTCATGAAAAAGCTGGGTCTTCAGCTTTTTCTTAAAGGTGCAGAGGGACAAAAATGCGTTATAACAGCTCTAAATGAGCAGCCTATTTCTTTGTAAAGTATGGTAACATTTTAATTTTCATTATTCATTAATATGAATGATCTAAAGTGGTCGAAATTGTAGGGTCGCAGAGCCTAACTTCTGGTCTAGGATTTTACAATTGTTTCAAGATAACAAAAGTAATGTCGGAATTTATGTTAGTTTGACATGAATTAATTTATTACACGTGGGGACAGAAGGCTCTGGTCAGGAGTAGGGAATAGTCCTACCAAGCGAAATGTGCTACCACCATGCGGATCTTGCCGATTGGGAACTCCGCCCAGCTGCTACGTCACAAATATACGGTGATGTGATAATCGAGCGCACCCTGTGTGCACTGAGTGACTGTGTGTGAATGAAATAAACAAAGAGCCGGTGACTTCTCAGGCTAACAGAAAACGCTCCTCAAGCTAAACAAAAACATGGAAACTGGTAGGTTTAGTGTACATTATTTTAATCAGTATTGTGTTTCCGGTAGCAGCAGCCTGTATTTAACAGCTGGAGGATGACACTTACACAAGCTAACGTCCACTTGCTAAGTTAGCATTAATTGCGTTTAATGGCAGCATAGAAGCAAGATTTCAACGCAGATTACTATGCTAGTAACATGACAGGTAGTGCCGATAACCTTTCAGGAAGGCACCCTCATCCAAACTTGAGACAAATACAGCTAGGACCTTTATTCCGTGTATCTGGTGTCGGCGACATGAGCCCGGAAACGTTAGCTGATGTGGCTAACATTAGCTAATCATTAATGAAGCTGTCAAACTCTAAACAATAGTTCAGATTCATTTTAGCGGGTTTTCGTTTGGAAGCACAATTGTAACCCTCAAAAGCTACTTTGAAAATGTTGTAACATTCTTCGGATACGTCCAAGTTTCGTGTAAATCAGCAAAGTCCATTGAATTGGGTTGTTTCGATTATAGGTTACTTCCATTTTTTGTTGATAGGCCAATGTCCAAACTTCAAACAGATGATTAAAGAGATGTATGGGGTTTTGACTATTTAAAGTAAGATTTAAAATGAGGCCGTGTTATTGTCGTGGTTTTCTGACCTTTACACTATTGTTGTACCCGCCCCAATGTAAGGCACCATGCCACCTGACATTTAGCCCTATGGGTGTAGTGATGTGCTTAGGTAATATAAAGCCAATTGTACATCCACTGATGTGTAAATTTACCCGTGCTTGGCCCCTCGCCATAGAAAACACTGTGATGTCTGTGCTCTGATCATCCATGGTCCCACTTGTTGAATGACTTGACAAACTACATTACTGACTGAGAAGACTCAAAACTTGTTGGGCCACAAGCAAACAAATATGTTGAAACTCAATGCTGGCCTGTTCTAAAAATATATTATCCGTCCATAGGCCAGTTATATGATTACAGGAGTATGAATGTAAGTTTGGCAGGGACACTATTCTGCATCTGAACTTTGTGTGGGCGGAAAGCAACAGAACACAACTGAAAGAGGGGTTGAAGTCCAGGCAGCATGCATGACTAGGCAATGTTCTTGTCAGTGTTAAATTGATTTGCACAGTTATTTGACTAAATTTCAAGCCATAGATCAGTGCAGGTTTGATTTTGTCAAAGTGTGCACCACTTCTCCTGTCCAGGGAGTCGACTTGCTTTCCAAAGTATTCCTCGCACACAGGGAGCTGGAGGAATGACACCATCAAGCTCTGATTCACTCTTACCAGGGCACTTATCGCACCATTAGGAAGCATTCTATATTTCTTCTTTGTTTGTCCCTCCCTCTCTTAGTATGCCCTTTTTTCTCTTTAAGACATCTTGTCATGATTGTGTTTGATGTCCTTAATCGACTCTTATCCAATATAATCTGTCCATGTACTGGAGAAGGGTTGTACAGTGAACAATTCTTCTGTGAACAATGTGCTACTATGTTATGACTATTGATCTGGTATTTTCCTGGTTCTTTTGTGACATCTGAGTCTGAGAGTGCTTATTCATCTTAAGGGGGCAGTGTGCATAAACATCATCCACAGCTTGTTTATCTAGCTGTGAAAGTCTTCCTAACTAAAGTCTAAAATCTCCATCCTTCTTCTATTCCTTATATCATTCATTCCTCCTATCTTTTATTCTTCTCTTCACCCTGACTTCTCTGTTTTATGTTTTTTGCTCTTCCAGGTCTAAGTCAGGAGAAGGTAGCCACCTTCCTTAAGCGGCTGCGGGCCGAGCCACGTTACCTGTTGGCCCAAAACGTATCAACCTGCATTGACCCGTTGGAGGTTTGTCTGCACCGGCAGACTGTCCAGGATACAGTGCATATCTTTCAGCACTCTATTCCCACGGAAGGCAAGCCCATTACCAACCAGAAAAACTCAGGTAGGAAAGCAGTATTGGAAGAATGACAAATACTGTACATAGCATACTTATAGCATCAAGTGAAGCATGGAAAAAATGTTTTTTTAGCATTATTCAACTCTCCTTCCAAATAATCACTGGTTTATGTTTTATTTTGAAAATCATTTATTTGTTCATAATGCATAAAATAGACATGGAGGTTTGCGCAAATTTTCAGCAAGCTTTGGAAGGCATCCTCATAAGATGGTTAGATCACACACAATGCTACTGATGTATCCATAAACACATGTTAATGATCTGAAAAATTCTTAGAATTGTTCTTTGTCTCATTATTTCACCAGGGAGATGTTGGATCTTCTCGTGCCTCAATGTCATGCGGCTTCCCTTCATGAAGAAGTTTAACATAGAAGAGTTTGAGTTTAGTCAGTCGCATCTCTTTTTCTGGGACAAGGTAAGACACAGCACAGCACTTAACATGTTTGGTTTTACACTCTTCACCATCTTAGAGGGCAACTATATGTTGTTCCTGCTCCATTCCAAATTTCTCCCTATTTTGTGGTTACATTCACAGCGAGTATACAGATAGTCAGTGTGTTACTTGTGTGTGAGGAGGTAGCATTGGTTTACGTTTGTGGCTGGTTTTGTGTATGTTTTCTAACTTTCTTAAGTTTTAGGTTTCTAGTGATGTAAACTTCTGGCTGATGAATGTTTTTGTTGTTTTATAGTCAGTACACCGTGTGTGTGGTTGTGTGTGAATGTGTATTGGTACTGTGTTATTGTACTGCCGTCTATTACTATACCATCATTGTCCACCTAAAACCCTCTTTGTGTTGTTGTCAGGGCTCTTCCAGCGGTGACGTCACAGTGACAACAAGCTAAATGTTTTTATCTCTGTCTCTGAAAAATCATGGGTGTAGCCAGGATGTGATACTAACCCACCAGTTAGAAATTATTTTCCCAGTAACTGGCAGAACATTTTAGTCATTGGGACATACATCTGAGAGACACTTCATTGGACACTACATTTCATATATGCCCCTCAGTGTAGGATAAGGCATAATCTTATGTTTTCAAGATGATATTTCCTGAACACTTATAAGAATTAAAAAAAGAAAAAAAAGGTCTGAAAAAGGCCTTTTTTGTTATTGTCAGGCCAGATACAGACATGCAGTAATATGTAGACATATGTGATATAAAACACCTAATGGGAAATTAAAAGGTCCAATTCCAGTGTACATTTCTGCATGTACCATAACATTGTGACATTGTTTCTTTGAACTAAATGTATTTCTCTATTTTGTTTTGGTTTTTTTTGAACAGATCGAGCGATGCTACTACTTTCTCCAGGCCTGTGTAGAGACAGCACAGAGGAAAGCCCCAGTGGACGGACGCCTAGTCCAGTTCTTGCTTTCGAATCCAACCAATGATGGAGGACAGTGGGACATGCTGGCCAACCTCATTGGTTAGTTCTCTTCATGACGCATAATCTAACTTGCCTAACCCCTGTTTTGCTCTGCCAGCAGAGCAGGGGTGTGCTATAAAACAATCTTAGATGGTGAAGGATTAGAATGGGTTGTCGATCTGCAAAAGTAGAAATATCACAGTATTGAGCAACAACAGTGTGCATTCTATCTGATGCAATTCTATACTCCTACACAGACGTTTGCCCTCCCATTTTCTTCACAGCGGCACGGGATTCATGGCTAAAACGGAAAATGAAGAGGTAGTCTGTGAAAATAACTTCATTTAGTTACATGGGACTGTTTGAGATTTTTCCAATTCGACAGGGTGCAAGAAAACAATTATTTGCAGAGTTTGCACTGTCAAGGTTTGCATTTTTTTGGTTTAGTTAGTAACAAGCGTCTCCACTCAAAGCTCACCTGAGGAATCAAGAATGAAATGACATTATGACTTCAGCGAGGTCCTGACCTCAGTTGTTAAACAATGTTTTGAACAGCACATTCATTTATTTTCATGCATTGGATGCTTGAAGCGATGTCAGTGAGTCAACAACTCTAGCAGGCAGGTGAGAGTGAGTAACGATGGTGACGCTGTCTGTCAATCATCGTTGTCCCGACCCCTCTATAAATAAAACTCAAGATTTCAGTAAAACTTACTTAGATGTGTCACAGAATACTTACATTCTGGATTATGTTTGAATTGTTTTTGTTTCCATTCTTGCCAGTCCATAAAGAAAACTAAAATAAATCCAGTAATGTTAAAATTAGACTATTTGAGCTTCTATGACTTGTTTTTAGTCACTGTGTTTACCTCTAAGTAGGCTGAAGCTTCTAAAAGAATCCGCTTTGTGCTTATGCAGAACTGCACTCAGCGGTGATGCTCGATGACGCTGGCGGGAGTAATAGCATCCACAGCCACTTTTTTGCCCATGAGTCAGAGCCACAGCCCGCTTCTTTGAATCATCTTAAGAACTTGAAAAGCAGGACTTCAGTTTGAACAGACCTTCAGCAGGTGGACCTGCTTTAATGGAGATGCTAATCCCTGCTGCACTTGCTGAAGTGGCACCGAGCCTAAAGCACGTAACCCATCAGGGATCCAGTTTACATTGTTACCACAAATCACCCAGTTACATTTACTTTAATTCTCTCTTTGTCGGTCTCTCTCTCTCTCTCTCCATCTCTCTCTAAAAAAGGTCTATCTGCCTCTCTGTCGCACCGGTGCAATGAGGTAAAATCGTTTGTAGCACAGCACGTGTGACATATATGTTGTACTGTACAGCCCTGCTGTCAACAAAGGTTACGTGTATGAAACTACAGTTGTAGGAATTCTGCAGGGCTAGAATAGTACAGAAACACAAGAAGTTGAAGTCCACATGTTTGCGAGTGAATACATCACAGTGTGAAAATGTACCTGATGAACTCTAAAATAGATTTAAAGACCCAAAAGAAAACGCTCAAATTGTGCATAAAAAGTGTTTAGAATGCATCAAACTGTGAATGAGTTCCTGCCATGAAAATATCATGATATATCTTTCCATATCACTCAAAACTACAGCAAATCAGGGGAACATTTTAAAAGTACTTACAGGTTAACGTGAGGTTAATAATGAATCTACACCAGACGTCACAACTACGATTAAAAAAGATAAAGAAAATATGATCAGTCATATGACGCCCTCGGCTTCACTTGTTCAATGGTGGGTACTGAATTAAGCCACACCCCTTCCCTTTGCCATCCTGCCTGTGTGAGAGATTTTCCTGCAGTTGCTTCAATCACCACAGAATACAGAACTTAGAGTGGTATCTTCAGAGAGTCAGGCTGAAGATTTAAACAAAACAAAAGTGTTGTTGTTACATATTAAAAATGGAGAAGTTGCATGGTGTCACTCTGATTGCTTCATCTTTAAAAGATGCCTGTTGTTAGTTGGTTTTTTCACTATGTGGTAAAACACTGAAGTTGCTATTCTGTACTTTTTGCAGTTTGACTGACAGTGTGATAAATGTATATGTGTCAATGTCTATGATGAAAGGTGGGGGAGCTTGAAAATACTTTTCGTCTTCCAGAAGGGGGCCCTACAGAACCACTGTCCTAAACAATGAGCTTGTGCAGTTTCAAAGTTATTGACTGTCAGTTAAAGGTTTACTCTAAATCATCGTGAAATTATCTAAATGTCTGTAAATCTGTTTTCAGAAAAATATGGAGTCATCCCAAAGAAATGCTTTCCAGAGTCACACAGCTCAGAGGCCTCACGGAGAATGAATGACATCCTTAACCATAAGGTATGTTTACACATTTCCTTCAGTCAAAACTAATTAACCCCCATTATTGCAGCATGTAATCGGTGAGGTAAAGCTAATATTTCTGTTTGACTGTGTGTTCTAGCTGAGAGAATACTGCCTAAGACTGAGGAACATGGTGGCCAGTGATGCAACTAAAGCTGAACTGCATGATGCTATGGACACCATGATCGAGGAGGTGAGACTGAAACATCATTATACAATGATGATAAAGATTCTATCTATCTATTGTGAATGTGCACAATTAGATGACTAAACCATTAAAAGCAGTAATCTCCGCCTGGGTGTAAACCAGCACATTAAATAAGGCATCTCATATAAAAGCTGCGTCAGGTTAAACTGGTATATAACCAGTCAGCTGGAGTAATGCCTAACCACATTCAGCACAGGCATGAGGATGTTAGTGAGGAATAAAGGCTGGTGACGTGAGCACTGCTAATGTTAGCCACAGCACTGTTTACCCACGGGGTAACTCATGTCACAAAGAGCCACACATTTTAGAGGCATTTAAAATAATCATCAATTCCATTATTAAAGTACGACGGAGGCTTATGGCCACATTGAAAAAAAATATATATATATGTATTTTGAGATTAAAGTCATAAATTAACGAGTATGAGATCAGCCTGCGCAGAAATGATGAAAGTAGAACTCTTAAAGTCTTTAAAGAATAAAAGAATAAAGTGGTTATTTCAGTCTATATGAGAAGAGCAGCAGCATCCTGTTCTCAAATGACAAACATGGAGCATCTTGTCCTAAAGGTTTCACTAATAAGGAAATAGGATACTTCCTTGTGTAGTCGGTAAAAACAGTTGAAGAGAAGTTTTCACTTCAACTTGAAAGACTTTGTTTATCTGTAAAATGATAAACAAGACACAAACTGTCTCTGCACATGAGACACTTTAACAAGGCAGACAGATAACAGACACAAATAGTTGTGTTGTTTACTTGTGCAGATATGAAACTACACATGCTTTTGACACATCATCATCTTCACATTGTCATAAAATATCAGCACCCTGAAAAGATTCTGCAAAAAACTGAAGAAAGAACCACACTGACTGACAGGATTATTTAAAAAAAATATATATTTTTTTTAACATCCTCCGTCGTATTAAATAGTTTTATTAGTTGTTTCAATTTCTGTTTAATCAACGGGGACATTAGTCACTGGGAAGATCCCAAAAAAATCACATACATACTGTATATTTTAAAATGATCATTAACATGCCCACTCCAGGATGTTTCAGAGGGAATCAAGATCTTTTCTAGGAACTCAGAAAGGTAAACTGTGTTCAAAAACTAAAGACACATCTTAATTTGTCTTGAAAGCTCCAGGTGTCAGAGTCCCTGCTTCTAGTATTTGTTTTCACATTTAGCATCCTTTTAGTCACCATAGCCTTCAGTTGTGAATACAACAACCAGGGCTCAGAGCTGCATCCTTACCTGTCATAAGTCTCGCAATGTTATTATAAAAAGGAAAGTAAATAATGAACAGCATTTTGCAAAAGAGACTCGAACATCCTAGTTCAATAAATGGACTCTTTTATACTATTGCAAAGAAATAAAAGTGCATTAAAAGTGAGGTTTTCTCTTAACAATGCCCTATTAATAAAATGATTACATATGGTGATAAAGTATAAATCCTTTCAATGAAATTATTAAAAAGAGAGGACGCACTAGTACATGCATTCTTAAACACTCTGTGGCCATTTTAAAAGTTACACAGCTACTTTAACACAAAACGTTTTATTATCCACAACATTTCAACCAGAGGTAACTTTATACTTTTTAGTTACTATATGTAGAACTATGAAAATGTTCCCATGAATGAGACCTCTAGTCGAAACGTTGTGATTAACGTTTTGTGGCATTTGAGCAAGTGTGCAGGCTTTTTTTCTTCTCTCTGCTGCAAAAAAAGGAAAGACACCTTGCTAAACTATGACCTCAATAACAAACAGAATTGGAGGAACACATTTTGGACAAAATAATGAAGCACTTTCAGCTTTTTTGAATTGTGGGTGAAATGTAGAATTGAATGCAGAGAGATTTTATTTAACTGCAAAAGACTGTAGTCTAACCTTTACCGGGCTGTGTGTGTGTGTGTGTGTGTGTGTGTGTGTGTGTGTGTGTGTGTGTGTGTGTGTGTGTGTGTGTGTGTGTGTGTGTGTGTGTGTGTGTGTGTGTGTGTGTGTGTGTGTGTGTGTGTGTGTGTGTGTGTGTGTGTGTGTGTGTGTGTGTGTGTGTGTGTGTGTGTGTGTGTGTGTGTGTGTGTGTGTGTGTGTGTGTGTGTGTGTGTGTGTGTGTGTGTGTGTGTGTGTGTGTGTGTGTGTGTGGAAAAAAAACTGGTAGAAATGTTATTTTATTTTGAACACGCTTCTTTCTTGTTGTATTGTTCTATTTTGACCAGAAGAGGGGGCTGTAAATTAAGACATAACTGTGAATCGATGCCTTTGTCAGAACTGACTCAGTGTTAAGACTGAGGTCAAGGTTAAAGGTTCTCTTCCCTTACCTAAAATTCAAGTTAATGCTATTGATTTTTTTTTTTTAAAAGAACATATAGTTAAACAGTCTAAACCCATTACTTGGGATACATCATATGATATTTTCTTGTTCAGTATACAGCTTTAGTAATACTTACTTGTATTACCTCAGAATACCTACAAATTAGTGTTTAATACCGTAATGACTTTATTCAGCAAAAAAGTTTAAAGCAACACAGGTGACACTCTTGCCTGCGGACAAATTTGATTTTTGCAGATATTTTTAAGAAAAATTATTTTTCATTTTTAGCACACTAGATCTGTTTTTATAAAGGCATGGATTATATCATTTAAACAAATGTAGCATAATAAGGACGTTTTTCCAGTATTATTTTGTTGAATGAAAGCAAAGTATGCCTGAAAGTCTCTATCTCATATGAGCTGATAAACGTGTGTGAACAGATTGTGCAGAAGAGATAACCACAAGCCCAAAGCTCCAGATGTTACACGGTTAAAGATGGCAATCTTGTTTATGGAACAGTCTGTCCTGAAACAGACTGAAAATAAATGAAATCCTTTAAATAAATAAATAAAAGGTGAATATGTTAATGTAGACAGGTTCTTCCACACTGAATCACACCTGTATTCAAGCAGTGACGTGCAGTCATGTGCCTACAATGTGTGCTTTTTCATGGCTTGTACAGGTCAACTCTATACAGTAGGTGTGTATGCATATGAAGCAGTATTTACACTTCCTGTGTGTTTGAATAAGCTCGGGGCCAGTCAGTCAATCAGCTTCCTATTGAGATGATTCACGCAGAGCAGGGGTCTGGTTAAGCAGCCTTTGTTGTCAGCTGTTTGGTTGCATTGTGCTGCTGGCTGCTTGCTTGTTTAAACAGTCCACTGTATCTCAAAGTGCCTCCAATGGACGTCCAGCCATCAACACCACCACACAAACACATGTTGTGCAACAGTAAAGACTGCTCACACTGCACCGCACGACAGAGTGAGGGGCAGGGGGTTGACAGGGTCTTTGTTTGTCCACCTGGAACTGGTTTATTTTATGAAATGCCAATCTATCATGGCCAAGTAGTAATGGAGGTTTTGGTCATTTCATAACAACGACTGCCATGAGGACAGTCAGCTTTGTACAGTTGTGTCACGTACATTTGACCAAAATCATTGTAATAGCTATTTAATGTTGTTCCATGTTCCCCCCCCCCCAATTCATGTAATCAGAATCAGAATCAGGGTTTATTGCCATGTACATTTACACATACAAGGAATTTGACTTGGTGTATTGGTGCTAAACAATTAACAAGGAAATAAAGCAGAACTAGCAACAACTTAAATAATACAGAATAAGAAGATATTACACTATATAAAATAGAATTTAAAAATGTAAAATATAAAAAATAAAAAACACAAATGTACAAAATGTGAGATGTAGGAGCTGTGCAGTGGACTATGAGAAAACATCTTAATGTGTGTAACTACTCACAGAGTGCATGTAAGGAAGATACATTTTTAAAGTCCAGTGGACATTAATGTAACACATAAAGAACAGTTCAGCATTCACATTACTTTGATGTTAATCATGGATCAAATTGAACCTTTCCATGATTTTTTCGTCTTATGACCTCATGTCTCTATATTTATATTTGTTGAGCACGCTTTTTAATTGTATTTTCAAAAATAGATCCATTTGTCTATTAGATACAAGTTAACTCTTTTATTTATTTTTATATATGTGTGTATAATGGAAGATTTCAAATATATGGTAAATATTTGCTCGGTTTGCTTTTTTTTTATACATACTAACAGGTTAGTTTTTGTACCATGACAACAGTTCTAATTGTTTTCTTATTTTATGAAAGCCATCTAATTAAACTTAACCACAGCAGAAAAAGGTCTCTTTGCATCTATAGTACGTGTGCACATGTGTTTCTCACGATCAAATTGTCAGCCCTACTTTGGTATATGTGGAAGTGATGCTGTCCATCCTCCCAACTGGCAGATGTGATTATACCCTGCACTTCATCATCTCAGACCCCCACACACTTCCATGACATGCAACTGGGGTCAACATCTCTGCTTCCACTTACTGTACACAGGTAGCGCTCGACTCAAAGGGATCCCTGTGCGTGTGAAGAACTGCTTCTTTTTGTTAATGCCAGAAAGGAACCTTTAAAAAATCACATTTAGGTTAAAAGCAGCTTTCCTCATTTTAATCTTGACTGATACACACTTCAAGTTTCTTTTTGTAGTAGCTTCTAGGATGACAGGATCCATACGCTGCATCATTTAAGCAGAATGAATTAGTTTGAGTTTCAAAGCAAGTATTTTCTTTCATTCTGTATCTGGTGTGTGTCCCTGCTCTTCTACTCTCACTTATGTAGACAACACACACACACACACACACACACACACACACACACACACACACACACACACATACATTCATTGGTTACTGTACAGTGCCATACAGTTCTTCACACACATGAGTGCACACAGATGGTATCCCTCACACCACAACTGTAGCCTTTTCATGCTCCATTGCGTCATGGAATCAGACTCACCATGTGCGGATCTGCTCTCGGCTCTGACTTCATGTGATTCTTGAGACATTAATTCATGAGACAGTCATCAAAAATCACAGAGGAGCAACCTTGCTGTGTCTTAGTACTGCTGGCCGTGGGCTCTGTTGATATGTTTGTTTGCTGTGGGTGGCGTCCTGTAGATGTGTCAATGTTAGGGGCTGCAACAATAGCTTTGCTCTTCCAGTGATGTCCACTTACACTCTAAATTTCTTTTTCACCGATGTTCCAATTTAACAATGACCACATGTGTTTCATGTTTACAAAATATGGACGTGTAATCAAAACCTCACTCATTTTTATCCAAACTGTTTGTATGGTGTCATTTGCTTACACTCACAAGTCCAGCTTTCAGACAATCGTTATAAATTGAATGCAGAGTACAAATTGGGTGCATGTTTTGTCTTAATTTGGCGTAAACTGGATGAGAGCCAGCTGCAGACCCTCATTATGTCTTCTTTGGCTTGGCCATAATTGTTTATTCAAACATTGTTGGATGAGCTTTTATTCTGCTTAAAGTCAGTTGGATAAATCTAATGTACAAATGTTTTTAATTAAAGATTTTATTTTTATTTAATCACCACTTTTATGTACAGTGAAATGTACTAAATACAAAAGTCATTCAATATTTTTAATGTACATTCTGTTTTTATTCTTTGAACCATAGCACCGTCTGGTTATAGTGTGTCACTGCTTTCTGTGGACCACACAGATTGTCCGGGGGAAAAGGAGGGCTTAACTCCTGCAGCCAAGCACCACAGCTATCTTGTAAAGTGGGGTGCCTTGCCCAAAGTTACCTATATATCCAAGTTTACTGTTGTGTGTTTTCATTGGCTAGGACTGTTTTACTCTACTTAGGGGATTATTTTTTGAAAGAGCCCATATTCTGCCCTTTTTGGGGTTCGTATATTTAATCTATGTATCTACTTTTGTACGTTCACAATAGATAAAGTTCTAAAAAAGTGTCTGTTTTCATGTACTGCTCCTCCTTGCTCCCTCTACACTCTGAGTCCGTCAGTTGCTCAGCACGCGTGTCGGAAATTTCAACATGAGCTGCTGGGCTTGCCACAACGAGCCAATGGGCTTAGATCAGTGATCTCACACTGACAATGACGCCGCACTGACAAATTTTTATCGAGGGGGGCTAGAACCGAGTGTTACATGCAGCCAATGCTACAGCTAACAGGAGGACGTAGGAGAAGCCGCGTTTCCGCGAATTTTTGCACATAGATGTACCTAAACATGCACAGGACACTTGGAAAACACACTTAAAGAGCATATAAAACCAGAAAAAGAAGAATATGGGACCTTTAAGTCAATTAAAACAATTCAAAGTGAACAGGGGAGCACAGATGCTATCATATCATAACATTGTGTGTGTTTAGGATGGGATTGTATGCAGCCACTCAGCTTATTGTTTGTCACAGAGTTAATGCTGACCTGAGGATGGACCTTCTGCTAGATTCTGATTAGTCCAAGAGAAAGTAACTTGACAGATGGTTCTTGAAACAAGTAAGATTTGCAGGTCTTTGAAATGTTAAGATACGAATATTGGTATCTGGTGGTGCAGTGGTTAGTGTGCGCACCATGTTTGGAGCCTGTAGTCCTCTAAGCGGGCGGCCCAGGTTCAAATCCGACCTGTAGCTCCCTTCCCACATGTCATTCCCTACTCTCTCTCTCCCTGATTTCTGACTCTATCCACTCTATCTCTACATTAAAGGCACAAAAAGCCCAAAAATCAATCTTTTAAAAAAAAGAAAAAGATATGAATGTTGAAGTCCGCAAGAGAAGTGAAGATTAATGTGATGACAAATGTCACAAAGTTTAATCAGTATTCATTCAGAACATAAACACCCCCTGCTCTTTGTGGAAATGTTTTGTGTGATTCAAAAGCTAATTAAATAAGAAAAATGTGAAATAATGATAGCTTTATATCTAAGAAGTATTGCAGTGGGAGGAGTTTATTAAACGTGACCAACAATCAATCAATCAATCAATCAATCAAACTTCCTCTACTGTAAGTCTCTTAGGTTTGTAAATCAACTGTTTTTGTTTGCCGTTCTCTTTCTCTCTCCATCCCCTTTTTCCTCTTTTACCATATTCCCTCTTTCTCTGCTTTCTCTGTCAGTTATGTGTATCTGTCATCGATGCAGCAGGTGTTTTAATATTCATCCTTCTCTGATGTCCCTGTGGCTCTTTATTTCCTGATTTAGACCTTTCTGTCGGTCTCTGCCTCACACCTACTTTATTTACCTTGTAAATATTAGTGGGTGACAGCAAGCTGAAATGGCATTAAGAGAGGTCCTTACACGAGGCTCAGTGTTTAAGAAAAATAATTGTAAAGTCATTGAAAGGCTTTAAAGTTGCTTTTGAATTATTCCTTGAAGTGGGAGGGAGGAATATGGAAACATCTAAAGTGAAGGAGCTATGGTATCTGGACAAACATTGAAACAAAATGTAAACAAAGTCATTAAATAAGTAAGAAGATGTATAGGGGGCTGGGAGTTAAACAGATGCCTTTGTTGACACAGCCACATGTATTTTTGTGTGTGTCTGTATTATTTTGAATACACTATCAGTGATGAAGCAGGGGATAGTTTGTACAAACCTTGAATTTGACTTTAATGTATGCCCTTTCCTATGTTTGTCTCTGTGCTAGGCTAGCATGTGCCCAGTAATGGCGGTTGGGGGGGTGGAGATACTGGGCTCACAGGGCGCTGTAACTACAAACCAGAATCCGAGAATGTCTTCTCTATGAATCAGGTTTTAATATGTGTTGACTTAGCTTGAAAAACTGCTTCCATGGCTACTTTATTTCTTCAGGCAGAGCCAAAAATAATTCCCCTGACAGAAGTTATATACTGTATGTCTAGATATTAGCTGCTGCACTCTAAAAAGTAGCATGTTGTGATTTATGGTATATTTGTCCTCTAAGAGTATGATGTTTCACCAGTAATTACCACAGTCAGAACATTACTCTGTGTTGTGGCTCACCGTACACTTTGTGAAACAAATTAAGCACTGGCGCTTCTTATGTCAGCCACTGACAAGAGGCTGTGCTGGATCTTTATTTCTCAGGACCTTCTTTGCATATTTTGATAAGAAAGCATCGGCTGCTTCCTGCAGAACAGAGAAGGGAAAAGCGAAAGTGGGAAATTCCTGAAATAACTATAACAGAGGTTAGAAGGGCGAGATTGACAGACAGTCTAAACAACCAGATTTAGCACACAGGAACCCAGTCTGAAGTTCAGCACCACAGGAAGCCACATGTACAGAGGGGGAATAGGTGTGGTGTGTAAATGAGCAAATAGAGTGATATGAAGAAGGTGGATGGGTGGGTTGCAATATAGAGAGGGAAAAGAGAAGAACGTGGGGGGGATAGAGTAGATGAGAAGTCATTTCAGCAGTGCTTCTCCTCAACAGGTTTAAGAGTATGAACTGTCTGTAGTAACAAATATTTAAAAAAAAAAAAAAAAACACTGTCATTAGATGATTATTGATTGATGATTAATAATAGTGACCCCTCTCTTACCTGAATTGGAAGCCCTCTGGACCGTATTCATACAGGCACTGCACATTCCCATTCAGGCTGAGGCTGGATTTAAATTTAATGTACTATGGCAGGTTAATAAAACCTTGAAGTGAGCATGATGAGGAAATGGGGGATTTTATGTCCTACTTCATTTGCCTTTTCTGGTTTTAATTGTATTGTCTGTTTTGGTTTGTTTCTTGTAGTGGTTGATTTTAGTCCTTTTGGTTGTGTCTTTGTACATGTCTTCTAACTGTTATATTGTTTGAAAAAAGAATAGTGACCCTAGTCTGTAGTTATGTTGATGTTTGAACTGTGTTTTCTGTTCAGGTGTTCCGTGTGGCCAGCGTTTGTCTAGGCAGCCCCCCGGAGACCATCTGTTGGGAATACAGAGACAAGGACAAGAACTTCCATCGTATGGGACCACTCACCCCTCAGGAGTTCTACAGAGAGCATGTCAAACCCCTATACAACATTCAGGACAAGGTGTGTGAATCAGCCATGTAGCTTTCTGTTAGTCCCCTGTGTTGAACACAGTTCCTGACACCCTGTGAAATTCAGCCCTTTGTTTTTTAAATCATGTGGTTAATCTCTTTTCTCAGGTCTGCCTTGTGAACGACCCTCGACCCCAAAACCCTTACGGGAAGCTGTACAGTGTTGAGTTTCTAGGTAACATGGTCGGTGGCCGCAGCACTCTGTATAACAATCAGCCAATCCAGCTGCTTAAAAAGGCTGCGGCTGATTCCATCAAGGACGGAGAGGTAGGTTAGGGCAGGCAGAACAGTAGAGACCATTACATTGATGATGACTGGATTTGTTTGCATGTGTGGAAAAACGTAATAAATCTTAAATGGCTGCTTTTTTTTTTTCCTCAGGCAGTGTGGTTTGGTTGTGACGTCGGAAAACATTTCCACGGCAAGCTGGGCATTAATGACTTGAATGTGTGAGTATAAAACATCTGGTGTTTGTAGTAGACTCTCTGAAATGATTGTATTGTAATGGGAATAAATATCCCAAAGTCCAAGTAAATGTAAAGCTTTATTGGATTATTGGCATGCAAAATGAGAAAGATGTGTGTTCAGGGTTTTCCATACATAGACTTAACTTTAGGGCCGTGCATATTATTGGAGGCAAAAGTACATTTGGAGACCGAAAGTCTTTTCTCCTCTTCTTTTTTATTTTTATTTGAGCAAGACAGAAGCATTCGAGATGAATAAACTATTAAAAATAATCACAGTCGCATATGGTCTCCAGTAAATAGACTAATTGTTGCCTAAGTCCATGGGGTTGATAGAAAGTGGGTGGTTGTACTCACATCAAGAAGTTGCAGGGCAGCAGCAGCAAGAGAAGGAGGACAAGCCCGAATCATTTACTCAATGCCGCAAAAGTTTAATAATGCCAACATTTTGACCAAATGATCTCTGTCATGTGTTTTGAAATAACACATGACGGTTTGTGTCAGTGGTATTTGTTACAACATTAGCTCTGACCATTCTGATGATAAATTACATCTAAATTATAAATAATATAAAGTAAAGAGTAAATATGGCTCAAAATAAACATGTCATCAATTCAATTCAAAAAATTTAATTTGTCCCCGGGGGGCAATTCAAAGGCACACAGACTGTAAATTAACAACAGTGCAGGTAGACGAAACATTTTAAACCTACAATATAAAGTGTCAATTTAAATACAACTTTAAGCTTAAACTTAACTTAAAATACAAAATATAAAAGTGGTAGATATAAGTGGATGAATAATGAATAATGTCTGAAGCTTCTTGGTCATACAGGCCATGGTAGTTTTACAACAACTGTGATTGAAGTTCTTGAAAACATGTCCCTCTCATTTTGTTCACTGAAAATTAAATAAAAATTTGAAATCCCTAAAACAAGAGATGTAGTAAATATTTTCACTTGAATCTGGGCAGACAAGTGAAGACTTCATCTCCCATCATGAGGTGTCAGCCTCTTCACAGGGACAAAGTTGCTCATCTTTAACCTTCAGGTGCATAAGCATCTGTCTGAGTTGCTGGCGCCAGGTTTTAATTTGCACACTGATCTAAACCAGCATGGGGCCATAAGTCTGGAACCATCTCTATTGACGCTCGTCTTCCGGACAGATCTTTTCTGGTGCCGAATCATCATAATTGGAAAGAAGCTGATCCTTAATGCAGCCTAATTTCTGCATTCCATCTCAGGGAAGAAATAAAGAGAGCAGTCTTTCAGCACATGTAGAATCCCGGACTTGTGAGATTAAGCTTTTGGATTTTAGGGTTATCACAATTCTTCTGTTGCTTTTCCAGAAATCTTTATTTTAATTGTTGGGATATGATATGGAAAATCTCCACATGAAGTTATCAAAAACTTTGCCTGTTCTGAAATGTTCAGCTTGAATAGTCAATTAAATGCATATTTTGATATTCTTGTTTTTTTTTCCTTTAGAGATTGTGCAATAGGATTTTTTTTTGTGTGTTTATATACATGCAGGTTCAACCATGAGCTCGTGTTTGGAGTCTCTGTGAAGAACCTTTCGAAGGCAGAACGACTGATATTTGGAGACTCTCTCATGACCCACGCCATGATTCTCACTGCTGTCACAGACAAGGTATGAATACACAAAGGCACAGTTCAGGTGTGGGACAGCTCCGTAAACTCTTCTACAAATACAGAGCACATACAAGCAAACCAACAGGAATACACACATTCAGAATTTTCCAGGGTTTAATGTATCAAAGCCTCGCTGTGTGTTTATTCTGCTTTAATCTGCTGCAGTGTTTCATAGTGATGTCAATTTCCCCCCATGTAAGTAACCCCAGCTGTAAGGACACTCTCCCTCCTCCAGTCTCAGCTTCTCACTCTTATCTCCCAATCAAGCTCACTATTTTTCTCCTTCAGGACGGGAAAGAAGGCTTTGAGAAGTGGAGGGTGGAAAACTCCTGGGGAGATGATCGTGGGAACAAAGGTAACACATTATTAAACTTTTGATGTCCTTTGGTCTGTGATTTTGTTTCTATGAGTGTAACCTGTGAACAACATGCAGCGTGTTTATGGAGTTACTTGTTTTCATAAATCTTAGTTAGTATATTATCAAAAAACAATAGACAAGCCGCTTTTAGGAACACAATTATTTAACATGATGATTCTGTCAAAACTTAAAATGCCACAGAAGGCCTGAGCTGCATTCAGTCAGCCATCAGATGGTAATTAGGATATTATTCAAGGGACCAGTGGAGGGAAATGGAGTATGGAGTAAAAACAGTTGTGCCCAATGGAGAATATAAGCCACATAAGCCGGCGTTGCTTCCCCTAATAGATGCAATATACAGTCAGATGTCACTTTGCACCATCACACAAGAAGAACATTATGAGTATTAAAGACAAAGGTTCTTTATACTGCCATTCTGTTGGAACATGTGGTGGATTTTCTGTGTTATAACAAAGGTGTTTTCAGTCTGCCTTTAACCACATGCCTGAATACATGTAAAACAGAGAGCCATAAGAGCACCACTACAAATAAATCAAGTGTATTTAACTTAAAGGTCCCATATCATGCTTTGTCTGGTTTTATATGCTCTTTAAGTGTGTTTTTCAAGTGTCCTGTGCATGTTTAGGTACATCTATGTGCAAAAATTCAAAGTCCGCATAAACACAGCTTCTCCTACGTCCTCCTGTTAGCTGTAGCATTAGCCGCATGTAACACTCAGTTCTAGCCCCCCTCGATAAAAATGTGTCAGTGCGGCGTCATTGTCAGTGTGAGATCACTGATCTAAGTCTATTGGTTCGTTGTGGCAAGCCCAGCAGCTCAGGTTGAAATTTCCGAGAAGCGTGCTGAGCAACTGACCAATAACGACAGAGCAGATCGGCAGACCAATCAGAGCAGACTTGGCCCATGTGGGGTCTAACAGTGTGGGCTCAACAGAGTGCAGCTGACGGACTCAGAGCGTAGAGGGAGCAAGGAGGAGCAGTACATGAAAACAGACACTTTTTTAGAACTTTAGCTGTTGTGAACATACAAAAGTAGATACATAGATTAAATATACGAACCCCAAAAAGGGCAGAATATGGGCTCTTTAATAAAATAAGTGCAACACACTGATAACAATGAGGAACAATAATAGTTTGATCACTTTTGTAGCCCTTTGGACATCAAAACTGCCCCTCAAAATGAATTTTGACCTTAAAGAGTCCTTCAACCTGATGTAAAAGTGTAAAAGTAGCTGTCTGAAAACATCTAAGTCGTAGCTTGCACTTGAATCTTTTTCCTGAAATAGTAGACAGGCTTTTCCAACAGAGTTCTGTGTCTGCCCTCTCTCTTTTGAAATCGTTCTCACACCACACTGTCTCCTTATAATTGATTAAGGAACAGGATTAGACTGTTAAATCAACTAGTAATTGGTTTTGTCCTGTTTCTACAGACTCAAGAACATAAGCACAAGCACAGCTGTCCTTATTTAACTTGACTTATTTTTACTCCGTCCATCTGGGTCCAGTTGCAGAAATATAATTCTCTATAATAAAAAAATAAAAAAAAGCAGTGGAGCTGTAAGCTCTGACGTACTGAATACTCACAGAGCTGAGCTACTGTAGCTAGCAAGCTAACCACTGACACAATAACCAAATGAGACATGAGCGCACTAATAACAATGGCTTCCCTTCACTTGTCTCTTCCCCTCTGTTTACTCCTATTCTTACAAGAGTTGAATTAAAGGTGTAAAAAGCTCTGCAAGACAAAGAGAATGCTAACCAGCAGGAAGCTGGCATGGTTGCAGAACATATGGTTAATTCAAAAGAGAAATGAAGTATGTTCAATAGGATTTGTTGAACCCATTTCTTAGCTCTTTGTTGCCATCGTTTGTTTGTATTCGTATTCTGAAATCAAAGTCACTTTGGATTTAGCCACCAAGGAGACAAATTGATGCATCATGGGAACAAAGTCTGTCAGGTTGGTTTTGTCTTTCTGCAACAAGCCTCACAACACAGCAGGTTCTCCACATCCCTGCCCAAGACTGTTCCTGTCCACACAAACAAACCACAAACCACAGTGACTGATGGGAAAACATGGGAATAGCCCTTCATCAAATCAAATGTATTTCACACATATCTTATTCCATAGACACCCTTAGATAGGAGAGCAGGGTCCAGGGCCCCCAGCCCATCCACAGCCAGATTAATAAAGTGTTTGAGAACAAAAGTTCAAGAAGTGAAGTTCACTTTGGAATCCAGAGAGTTTATTTGTTTTACTAAAGCTGAGGAATGGAGAGGCAAGCATGCAGGAGAAATCAGGGAGCTGATAGAGAACTTGATGCGTAGTACCAGTGGACTTACTTAGAGATAGAAGTTAAAGACTATTAGATTGTATGGAATATTATTAATCTGCTTTATCGGGTAAAAAAGGATCAATGTATACATCATTTTTAAACAATAATCAGATGTAACAAAAGTACATGATGACAAGCATTCCTAAGTAATCTAAAAGGATATTACTACCACTGCTAAATGAATACAGAGAATAAATCATAAACTATTTAAAGACTGTGGGATTTTCCTGCATTCTAATCATGAGGCTCATGAGAACTGCAGCATGAGAAATACTAAACGGTACACACTGGATTTCCCTTATAATTCTAATAAATAAATAAATAACAGCTTTCAGATTTTTCTGTAATCGCTCCCCGATTCGTTCACTGTGCTTCTTCAGATCCAGGCAGTAGAATGAGGAACAAAGACCCACCAGCCTTAGCTGCAGCCCTAGCTCCTGCAGGGTGGATGCATTACAGATTAGACATAAAACCCCCCAAAAATATGAACAGTTTATTGAAACAACTAGTCATTCTGGTGCCAAATAGCGAGGCTGATGACATATAATGATACATATGACATGAATATTTTAGTCAACTAATCACACACATCCTTAATAAACACAAACTTCAGTGAAAGTCTTGTGCTGTGAATTGCTGCTTTAAGGTGGAAAGCGGCTGCTCTGCACTCCTCTAGCCCACAGTATAGCCATCTGTTCTTAGATGGGACAGTAAGCCTATCCCTGAAAACAAATAATGACACCCAACTCACATCCACACACACATACACACAAAACATGCCACCCAACACGCTGGTTCCAGGAAGGCTCACATCAACACACGAGGATACCACAGTGAGAACTAGGCACTTTGCCATTCAAGACTTGCGTACTTGGAAGAACACATATACACAACAGACACGCCATCCCTGGTACATTGTTTTGAACTGTGGCACGTTCTTGCGGTCACCCCGACGTCTTCAATAAGTCGGCTTGACGGTAGGAGGGATGCTCATGTTTGCCTAACTCTGAAAACATGAGGAGGGTAAAGAATGGATGGAAGGGGGGAGGAGTTAAGTAAATATATAATAAGGTATTCAATTGTTTTGAGTAGCAGTGTACTTTGAATTCCGCTTCTTTCACATGACTTTAAGTCCTACTTATCTAAGACTCTTACACACACACATTGTTGATTTTAATTATTTCAGTACGAGCTGCAGCACATTCTCATCCCAGAAGGAAGATAAGGTTATCACAATATGGGAAGTCCAGGGTACACTTGCATAACAACCCCACATTCAGCCACACTGACCTTGTATGAATGCATACACAAAGATAGAGAGAGGCAGACATTGTTTGGTTTTATCAGGGTGGGCGTTCAGAGGTGATAGCAGAAGGATTTCATACATTTTACACTGCAGGATGGGGAAGTGTAAACCATGACGGGGTCGGGATCCCTGTCGTTATCCACCCTTCTGCCCTTTGAAACTGCCCTTTTTTTTGTGATTAAAAAAAGCACTTAAAGCAATAAAATATACATACACTGATACAACTTCTCTCATGAAAAGTTCTAAGCAGAGATACTTTCACGTTCTCTCTTTGATTGTCCTGTATAATAAAATAAAATAAAAATAACTAAGAATTTATCTAGAGATCATGGTCAAATGTTAGTGTGAATCGAGAAAGCAGCAGAAACTATCATGACAAACCTTACTCAGACATATGGGGCCGTGGAATAAGAGGCACTTGGCCTTTCAATAAAGAGATGAAGCAGTGTGCCATAACACTATTCCAACTGCTTTTTTTTCACTGGATCTAACCACAGAAGTGATATGACATAAACAGCTCAGGAGTCAGGAAACTGAATCTACCACATGCTGTGGCTCAATGATAGAGTCGGTCAATCCTTACTTCCTGCTCTCATGTCCAAGTGTCCTTTGGCAAGACACTGAACACCAAAGTGTCATCCCAACACTGAATTAATGATGCAAGCAGCTTCTGCAGGTTACAAGCATAAAAATAAATCTTTTAGTTATTCAGTGTGTCATCAAACGTGATGTTACTGCTTTAGACAAAAATGTAATATTTGAATGAAATGTGAATGTATTAATTATGAGTAATGTTCAACTGGAAGCACATAAAGGTGGCACTACGTTCATGTATTGTTTGCTGTTGGGTTTTGTTTTTCTGATCATGTGAAGACATGTTTTCTATACACCTACTTACATGAGGGAATGGCATCACTCGTTTAAAACTTGAGTATTTTTGTCTTTATTTACTTACAATCCTTGTATAAGACAAACATTGTAACAGCATATCCATTTACTTTGTTGAGCTTTGATCAAACATTTTGTGAAAAAGTTATTAATTCATGCGCCACGTCAATAAGAAACTCACTGCAGAAGTATTATTCAAATCTGAAACCCATTTAGTACAGTGGTTATTTTAAATTTTCTGTAAATAGCCATACCTACTTTGATCAATAATTACCATTTTCATCAGCTGAGCACTGACTCAAGATTAGTGCAAACCAGATTTTGCATCAGTCCATAAAGATGCTTATGCTATATGAACTTCACACATTAGTCTGGCCTCCTAGTGGCAACATTAAGTACTACAGAGTGTAGGTCAGATGCACGAAGTTTGGTTTTGCTTTCCATGTTAGATTTAGTTTTTAATTTGGTTGTGTTTCCTGTCTGTCTTCATAGGTTACCTGATCATGACGGATGATTGGTTCTCCGAGTATGTGTACGAGGTGGTGGTAGATAAAAAGTTCCTAACCTCCGACGTCCTGGAAGTGATGCAACAGGAGCCAGTTGTACTTCCTGCCTGGGACCCGATGGGGGCGCTGGCCTAACTAAAGAAATCAAGGTTTTAGCCCCAACCTCGGATCTATTCAACTCCGCCCTATTCCCTGGCTGCTTTGACTTCTCCAATTATTACCCCACACATCCTTCCAAACAAGCCTGTTCCTCTAGATAAAATAATAAAGGTTTTGATTTCTTTTGTACTTCACTGCTTTTGTCTGCTGTCTTATTTCTACAGAGAGTGGTGGTTAACACTACCACAACATGTGTTTGTTTGTATTCTGGAATGGTTGAATGAGGTTTAGTGCATCATAACTGGGCTAAAGATTAAAGAGTTCATGAAATCTGTGCTGTGAAAACCCTAAGTTGCTCGGTTTTTTGTCATTTTTATATTAAATTGAAATTTCTATTCTACAGTTGGACCAGCATCTTTTTAAACAGGCAAGCGTCTTACTCACAAGCAAAACAGTTGTGATTAATTTTACTTCCACAGATCAGTGTCAAAAGGAAGATAGCAGAGATTTGTCTTTACGGTTAATCTTTGGAAATAAGTGATTTTTCATTGATTTAGACTAAAGATTATATTTACACAAATTGTTTATTGTAAAAGTATTTGTTTCAAAGATGAAGGATGGGAATTGTGTAATGACTTTGGTGAATAGACTCCCATCATGATGTCTTCATGTATATATGTATGTACCCGCCTGATGGAGTCTGGGTACTGGTGGTGGTAGTTAAGGAAGGTCACAAAGTGTGGTCAGGACTTCTGAGAAGAACCTGAACAAGTTGAGTCCATGTGCATCTGTTTGTGCTGGACAGGAGTGATTGGCTTTCTTTAAACCATACAGGAGGCTTCATCACACACTGGCACTCATTATTCCATTTCTGTTTTTTCTCTCCTTCCCTTCTCAGTTGTGTGTGTAAGTGTGTGCATGTGTGTGTGTTTGTGTTTGTGAGCTCATGCTTGTATGTGGGGATTTGTGTGTGTTGCAATAAGGATTAACCTAGTGCTTCAGCCAATACTGATTGGAATGACGCTGAACATACACAGGCCGGCTTTCCACAAAAAGGTGGGCCTGGAGTCTGTGTGAGTGTTTGAGTGAGATCGAAAGAAGGAGGACACATCGATCAAAATATGACGTCAGCATGACAGTGTTGTCTGCCTCTTACATGTCTCTCCTCCAACACACACACACACACACACACACACACACACACACACACACACACATAAAGGCTTAGACTGACTGGGCTACTGTACCTAGCACTATGCCTTTCAGCCCAATAGTTTATAGATGGCTGTAAACGGGGTAATTAGTCCAGGACACAGACACACTGAATGTGAGGGAGAGATTATTCTGTCTATCAAACATTTTATAATGCGCACATTTCACCATGCTTGTTTTCCACATTTTATGACTTCATCTATTGTTGCTCTCTTATTCCTATCTTGCCCTCTTATAAATATGCATCTGTGTGTCCTGGATTAGGGGCAAGGATCCTTTGCTAAAGCTCAGCATGTGTGTGTGTTAGTGCCTGCATGCTTGAGTATGTGTGTTTGTGTCTTAAGCCAGGCAAAGCAAGAGTACGGCCTGCTGTAAGCCCAGGCATGAGTGATTTGTGTGATTTGGTTTAGACTGTTGACATGCAGCCTCTTGGACACTAGATCACCAGATACTCTATGGACAATGCAGAACATCAAACTATAAATATCAAGGTAAGAGCACACTGCCTTTCTTCTAACATTCCATGATATTATTTCTAGGAGGTTCATCATTTACAGTTTCCCTTAGTTAGTCCCAGCTATAAACATATACCTGTACATGTCTTTGAGATATAAATCGTGCATGGGTCCAGTGTCATGAGGTGTTTTTAAAAAGATCTTTTTCTCTGTGTATGCCTAGTTTGAGCATGGTTTCTATTTGTGGCCTTCCTTTTCAACATTTTTCATCCTCTGTATTATTTATAAAACCTCTTTGACTTGAAGTTAGAGGAGTTATAATGCATGAGTTTTTGGAACAGTAACACATTCCAGATTTGGGTGTTAGTGATTTCATTAGAGATATTTTGTGTTTTGATTAACTACCTAGATTGTGTAATATGCATTTATACACGACCACTTTGTGCCATTGGTAATGGAAGAACGACAAAACAAATTATCGAGAGTTGAATCCAAAGACTTTTTTTTGGTTTTCACTGGCTGTCTCATTATTTTTGTGGTTTAAATTCAAATTTTCTTAAAATGGTTTCATAGTAAAGCCATAAGCCCAACCCATCGACAGGTCATAAGATAAGATCAGATATACTTTATTGTCCCCAAAGGGACATTTATCTTGGACTCTGTCCTGCAGTCACAGGAGAATTAAAAAGTACATAAATAGAGATCATAAAAACACCTTCAGTAATAACATATTGAGATATTGCACAGCCCTTTGGCACATCTTCATTTCCTCTCTTCACAATATTAATGAGCATTGGCATTGTAGCGCCTGCACACCTCCATTCATTGCTTCCTCATCTCACACTCCAATGAAAAACAGTCACAGTGCCGCGAAGTCTGAATCCGTCGTCCAGGAAGGACATTTGTATAGGTGTAAGTCACCGGTGATCGAGGTGGAGAGTCATTGAAAGAAAGTCAGTGAAGGAGAAGTGTTACCTCGGCACAGAGCGTGATTGAAAATTCGTGTTATATCCGTTTTGTGTGACATCTTTGTCGCTGGAGGTCGTCTTTGTCAGGCCCGATTACCTGTTGGATTTGTTTATTTCCCTGTTCCTGGCGGATCAGCTGTTCCCTGGAGTCAGGAGATGCCGGTCGCCATGGATCAAAGTCCAACTCTGACTCTGACTACTGACTGACTTAAAAACTTCGGTACCGTGAGTACCTGCTGTGTCTTTTGTTTCTTGCTGGTTTTCTTTGGAGTTTGTTTCCTTATTTGTTTTCGATGTAAAACCCGGAGCGGAGTTTAGGTGTTGTACTTGAACATTGAACTGAACTGGACTGAACTGTGGGTTGTGGGTATACCGGAGCGGACTTTCCGGAGCGGAGTGATCTTTGATTTACAAACAGAGGCTGTGCGCGCATTCATTTTGTTGCAGTGTGGTTGATACATGGGATAATATATATATTTGAAATCGCATTGTTGTTTTGTTTGATTGTTTTGTGGCTCTTGTTTATGTCATATTTTGTGCAGGTTGACTATTTTTTGTTTGCATTTAAATATTATTTGTCAGATTTGACTCTGACTGGCACCCCAAAATTAAAACCTTGTCAAACCCGCTACCGCATTTATCCCTAAACTATATAACAATGAATCTATGAGAATGTTTGCAGTAAATAGCCTGTGTCCTGATAATCATGTTTCATAGTGGAGGTATGGTTGCTGCTAAAGGTGGAAATATCTTAGTACTAAAACAACTCCGAGGTGGAGTGTGTAGTGATACTCTAATCCAAAGGTCACTTAATGACTTGTAAGCCAGTTAGTTTAGTCTCTGCATAATGCACTTGACTTTATGCCAAAGCTAATTGTAAAATACCGGCTGCCTTTGAAAACTCACTTACATCAAAGACAAATACCATGTTTTCTTCACATTGTAAGATGTACTGTTTGTATTGCCATTGTTTTTTTTTTTGCCTATAGTCAAATCAAATTGCCTTTTGAAGAACTGAGATATCCTGCTTGAAGGGGTGCTTTGCAATTTTCCCACTGTCAGATTTCTGTCCGCCTTCACAGTCTAATTGATTTTGTTCTTTACTGGCTGATTGTTGTTGATCCATGCCAATCCAAGGCAACATTTAATGAGACACCAACCCCTTAAGGTGTGCCTGCACTGCTACTGCAGTCTGAAGAGTTGTATGATCAGCATCTTGACCTCTTCTCCACCAGATAGATTCTGTTATAGTGATAACAGAACAGAAACAATATGACACTGATTCTCCCGACCATGAATGCATGAGTTGAAATTTTTTCATAAAAACATTTTGAGTTAAACTTGTTCCTTTATATGATGCTTTAAGCCCTGCAGTTTAACAACAGTCAGTGAAAAGGAACAAATGAAAACAATGTTTATTTGGTTGATACTGAGCCCTAAAGTGTCTAACATGAAGGATATACTCAACCTTTGTTTTATAGTAAAATCTTCATAGAGCCATCATTAGTCATGCACAACGTGATATAACTACTCGTAACTGTTGGATAATTTGGACTGTTATGCCGGTTTAAACACAAGGGCTGTGGATCTGCCAAGACAAATGCATTGGGGGGGGCGGGCCACTGGGTTTGTAAATCTGCAACGGTACAGTTCCAGTTGCTGTAAAAAATAAAAATAAAAATAAACTTTATTGAAGCACTACAACAAAGGGCATTTGTTGAATATGCAGCAGCTAGAAATGAAATAAAATACTCTGTTGTAGAGAGTCCCTCTGTCTAAAAGTGGCATGTTGTCAAGGCTGCATGACAGGGTCAACAGGCAGATTTTCTCTATGGAACAAGCAAAAGTGCTATAATTCAATAATACCCACATTAACATTTTCCACATTTCCAAATGTCTTGTGCAACCGCTGCACAGCTAAAGGAAGTTAATCTCTCCTTCAGGGCAGGTTACCATGCATGTCTGTCACTGCCACTGAAAATGTGTTTTTCATGTCTACTTATCAGACTGCTCCTCCATCAGGGACGTTTAAAAACCAAAGGTGTTATCTCCCAGGAGTAGTTTCTTTTTGAATTATAACACAGTACAACGGACTACTTCTTTGTAGTTTGGCAGGTTAAGGGGATTTCAGTCGATACTTTTAACAGGTTTCCCTGTAAATACTCGAGCACTATTTATTTTTAATTTTCCAGGGCCCTTCTCAGCATGATGTGGTATTAAAATCTATAACCCTAGCGTTCTACACTGATACAACTCATTTAAGCAAAACGTCAGAGAATGAGTTTAGTGTTTTTAGACAAATTAAGGTTTTATTCAGTAACAGTATTTTCTGTTAACCAGATGCTTCTGTTAACCAGAGATGACAAGAGCAAATATGTGTTTTCATTCCTATGTTTTGTTTATACATGACAGCCACCGAGTTAACCCTTTCACACATCGTTTTCACTACAGACCACGAGCTTTTTCTACTTAATGAGTTGGTTTTAAAGAAATGGATTTTCATGAAACACTTCAGGAGGTTCATCCCGTACATCCTGCCATAAGAGGTGAACCATCAAATTACCAAATCAAGATGGCAGCTCAGGAAAATCTTGCAAATCCTGTTTTAATAAATCAATCAAACAATTTTTATTTGTATAGCGTCAACTCATAACAAGTGTTATCTGGAGACACTTTACAAAAAGCAGGTAAAATACCTTACTCATTGTTATGTTGTTCAGGCAAATCTGCAATAAAGGCCCTTGCAGATTTGTTTTTTAACATCTAGTGACAACTAAGGAGCAGTATTATTTTTTCAAATTTCCGAGTAATGATTTAAGGTTTGGAGAAAACTCAAATTGAATCACTTGTCCATCATGCATTGCTGGATTTATTTCTATTACAATAAATATAAATATTGAGACTTTGATGTGGAGGTATTTTTTTTCTGTAAGCTGATTTATTTATGTTATCAAACTAACTTACAGATTTACTATTCCTGTAACTATGTCAGTTTCTTTCAGTGTTATTCTACGGTTAGTTTCAATTCAAATCCAAACTCTGTTAATATTTGCTCTCCCATTAAACGTCTGCTGTTGTGCTGCTCTGGCAGCATACAGGCTGAAACTGTTGAGTTAGGTTTCTTCAAGAATATTGAGGATATTAAAGACAGAAAAGACAGAAAACTATCTCATTAAAATATCAAGAAATCAAGGTGGTTCACTCCAGTGAATATAGGACAAACTGCAAAGAGAAACATTTTTATTCATTTGTTTATGTATTAGATAGTATTTTTTTAAATCATATTTGCATTACAGCATGGTATGATGTCCACTATTGTGGAGATTCCTTTAAATTCCCCCAAAAATGAGTGTTTTATAAATTGAAGAATCATTTCCCTTTATTTGTCCTAGAAGTTAATAATACTTTGAAGAATATGTTGCTCTTTTACTCAAAAAAATCAATGCAGCTTAAGCTGAAGCTGTGTGGGGGGTTTCACAAAATGAAGAAAAACTGAACACCAAGAGGAAAGTTGGACAGAGCAGGGAAAATAAGTCTGAAACTACTCAGGAGCCCCCCACTCTCAAGAGTTGCCAAAGTAGATCCTGATAAGAATATTATTTTTCCTGAACCATTGGCATCCATACCCAACACTAAAGGGTGTAGGCCTTACTTTAAAAACAGACAGTTTGTAAAAGCTGGCAACGGGCCCGAGGCTCTAAAAGTTGTTAGGGAGTAAAAAGGAGACTGAGCAGGCACCTTCTGGATCTCTTGGGGAATTCAGAAACACATGCAAATGTGGTTCAGTATACAGGTACTCTAGTGTAGGAATACTCTTCATTTAAGCATGAATTGTGGTAAATGTATTCATTCAACATATCATAAGAGGTATAAGATTGCATGGGATTATCTTCACTGTTGTAAATAGTTACTGTAACATGGGTATGTTTAAAGTGGTTAGTACATACTACAAGTTTGCACTTGTGCCTATCTAAACTTGTGTTCCCGCCTTTGCCTATGAAATATGAACAAAATACAACTCTAAGTTATTGACTGGTTTAGTTTATTTACAGCTGAGTATGGTTCAACCCAACAAAAGACATGCAACAAACTGTCGCAGTTTGATCTTATACAGGATTTTTACAAGACTTCACTTAATCAAGCAAACATGCCAAACTGACAGCATCAACTAGTTCAAGGTTATGCCTCTGCTGTCCAACCAGGGAGGTGTCCACCGCTACCACAGCCTTGCGCTGATTGCAGGAAGCAGGAGAGTTCAGGGACTAAGACTCTAGATTTTTCAACATTTAGAAACACAAAAAGTAATACCTGGAAATTCAGGGTTCCCTTGTAAACACATGTTGACCAAACACCTTTTACTGGAACATCTGAATCGATTGCAGAGACCTGTGTGTGAGGTGTGAACATGACCTCAAATGAAAGGTAACTTGAGTGAGAGCAGCAAAAGCATAATATCTGCTTGATGACAAAAGAATAAAACATTACCATTTGAGGAAAATGTTGGAACTTAAGGCGGATTGAAAAACATTCTGAGTTTTGATAGTGAATGATGGAAGAGGGAGTGTGAGTTTACCAGCCAATGTTTCATGATTGTGTGTGTGTGTGTGTGTGTGTGTGTGTGTGTGTGTGTGTGTGTGTGTGTGTGTGTGTGTGTGTGTGTGTGTGTGTGTGTGTGTGTGTGTGTGTGTGTGTGTGTGTGTGTGTGTGTGTGTGTGTGTGTGTGTGTGTGTGTGTGTGTGTGTGTGTGTGTGTGAGAGAGAGGGGGTGTGTGTGTGTGTCTGTTTGTTCATACTAGAAAGACGATTGCATGTAAAATACTGACACAGAGTCAGTCTGAAGGGTAGGACTTCCCCTGTCTTCAGTGTGTGCTTCCATGACCATACAGTTCATCATCACTCTTTGTGTTTTCTTTGTATCAAACCAAGCTTTAAAGTGAACTTCTTTTTGCATTCTGTTTCCTCGTTATGTTTTGTCTAGGTGCATGCATTCATAAGCCCATCTCTGTGTGTATGCCTGCGTGGCTGTGCGTCTCCCGACATGACATGTGTGTAAGTGTGTGTGGTTGTATGAGAGGAACAACAAGGGAGGGAAAGAGAGTGAGGGAGAGAGAGAGAAATAAGAGAGGTTCGAGAGCTCCATGGGAAAACACCGGGTCCTGACGTGCTAGAGCAGACTCTTTCATTACCTCAGGATTCTTTAAGTTTACTGTTGTAGTGCTGCTTTTTGTATTTCTTTTCTCAGCAACAAGTTCTACTTGATGTCACTGTTTCATTTACAGTCTCTTAAGGTAATGTATGGAACAATTATTCAACCTTTTTTCTCTTAGTTGTTGAAATGGGGGATTTATGATTTGTCTGAGGTTTAAGGTAAAGTTAGAAATTACAAACAGTGTCTACATTTTTAAATGATTTTCATAGGTATTTCTCTAGCTTGCTCTCTTTTGGTTTATCTTTGTTAATAACTTTCTCTTCTCACATCACTCTTTGTTCCTTCATTGAACTTGTCAGGGGAATTCCTAATGAAAGATTTTTGATTTTCGATATGTAGAGTTGTTTTTGTAATTAGGGACGAAGGACATCAGAGTTATCAAACTTTATTGGAACCATATGTGTTGCTTCTTCATAAATGTTTTCAGACAGTGATTAAGTGTGTTCACATGCAGATCATAGCGGACTTTTGATTTTATTGAGCTTTAGTTTGTGTTTCTTGATCTTCATCTGTGCAGCTGTCAGTCGTTTCTTTAATGACAGATTGGTCAAGAAGAGGAGTTTTCAGTTAAATATATTTTTTATATATTTAATTAAATGATTATTGAGCTATTTTGTAACAGCCTTTACAATTCCCATCAAGTTTAAGTTTTCTAAAGTTACTGAGTTTTATTTCAGAGGGGACTCACTGGACTTTTGTCTGACTAATGGTTCAAATTAAACTGAGGTCATTACATTTGCTTTCATTTGGAAGTTAAACTTGTATTAAAATAAATAAAATGATAAAATGCTAGTGTTAAAATAGAAGATTTTGCATTTCCTCCACAGCGGCCAGAAACACAACAGTTCAAATGATCAGATGTTATTGTCGTTGTGTCAAACTGCAGGACGTTTGTTGTAAATGAAGACGATTTTGTTTTAATTTTGTCTTCCTGCAGTGTTGCATTAATTGTTAATTCCACTTACACCATAAGTCTTATTTACCTTATATCACTTTCTCAGTTTGACTCAATGATCCTGTGATAGTATATGGATGGAATGTGTGTGTGTGTAAATATATATTAAATGGAAACAATATCAATGTTAAAAATGTATTTATTTTTGTTACAGTTATTCCCTTAAACAGAAGTTATCAACCTTCCAATTCAAAATTACAAAGTGTTTCTGAAGCAGCTGCGGACAAAATGTGTGCTAGGGCAGAATATATTCTCTCATCATGCCATTTATGTACATTTCAGATTTTAAGAAATGAAGTCCATACAATGTATTAACTAGCATTTAATTAAGACAAAGGTCAATCTTATGCATTCATCATCACCGTTCATGGATCTTTACATGTACTGTATCTAAATGTGTTATAATAATCCATTAAATGTAGTGACACAAATAGTTTATTTTGGTGGCCTCGTTCACACTTGTTCAAACTCAGGGTAAATTGCATTTTGTGTTTTTTACCATGATTCAAATTGATTAAAATGTTTTATTTTTTGACATTTTGAATTTTGTTTTTTCATTTATGAGGTTTTTTTGTTGTTTCTTGTCTCTGAAAATGCTTCTGTTAAAGAAGAAAAAGAAGAAGAGAATTACTTTATTTATCCCTGCAAAGGGAAATTCTGTTTTTACCTGAATACATCATATGTATACATCATATGTACATCCATGTATACTGCTTTGATCAGAGAAGCTCAACAGGTTATGAGAGACCGTGTGAAATGAGACACATGAGGAAAAGCTGAGCACAATCCTCTCACTCAGTACTCCTGACACTGGACTTCATAATTGTACTTCCTTGTCATGATAAAAGCTCCTATAGCATGGAGAAACAGATTGTATAGATATTATATCCTGTCCTTACTTAAAGCTATTTTAGAAACAGAATTATTTTGTTTTCTTTCTGTGTTTCAGAGGATAAGCAGTCGGTGAAGAAGAGATTTTTCTGCTGGCTCAAAAACATCTCTTCTCTCTTTTCTCGTTCAAAAGACTCTTTTAGTCCACTCATAATAAACACATACCCTCCCTCATTGCAGCCCCCCTCTCCTCTGGGGAGAGCTCCCGTCTTCCTTACCTGTCCACAAGGATAACCCCATTTAGCTGAATTTGTCTTATGCCATCACTGCTTGCTGTTCCACTAATGGGCGCCACATCAGACAACAGTTCCACATTCCCTTCACTGTCACTGAGAGCCTCTCTCCACCCCTAACTGCCTCGCCAACACCAACACTAACACAAGCCGATGGAGAAGAAAGACATCATCATGACGAGCCTGCTGACAAAGGACAAGGGGGAGAATGAGGACGAGAGGAAAGAAGAGAGAGAGGAGGTGGAGGGAGAGAAGGAGGACATGCAGCAGGGGGTCTGTGGTCTGACTCTGGCTGACGGTCTCACAGATAGAGGACCCAAAGCCCTCACCCCCGGCTCTGTACAGCAGGTCTCCAATGGTTTCACCACATCCAGCCCTCAGAGTCCTAAGGAGGGACCGGGGACTGCAGCCTGCTCTGCAGGTACATCCTCTGGGTCTGGAGGAGCCACTGGCCCCTTTGTGCCACTGGGAGGCCTCAGGACTCTGGTGGTCCAACAGACCACCCTGGAGAGGCCCAGAGAAACCTGGAGCAAGAAGATGGACTTCTTGCTCTCTGTGATCGGCTATGCAGTGGATTTGGGAAACGTGTGGCGTTTTCCATACATCTGCTACCAAAATGGAGGAGGTGAGAAGGCATAGATGTTTAAGATCAGCTTACCGGAGATGTCATGCTATTAAGAACAGCATTTAGAAGATCAGAAAGAAAACATTCTTTATAGGTAGATTTTAATGCTTAATGTTAAATCAACATGATAATTCAGATTTTTGTGAACATAACTTTTTTCACTGAAGATAGACGTGGTTAGGAAATTCCTCTTGTATAAATCATTTATTCAAAAGAAATTAATGAATAAAAAAACCTAAACCTGCAGTTAACAGTCTTTTTTAACAGTCTTTCTATCCGTTCATTTCTTTGGTTCTTTCAGGTAGCTAATGTAAGTGAGCATATGTTTTTTTACAAAGTCTTTGAGGCCTGCACCCTGAGACTACAATATCCTAACCTTACTGCACACAGGGCCTCCCTTTTCGCTTTTATTGGATTTGCAATAATAAAATCTTTGCAATTTCCTGTGTTCTGTGTGTGTCTCCCGGAGCGAGGTAGAGATGGGGACCGGGGAGACACTTGATAGAGGCAACAGTATTAATTGTGGTTTTTATGAAAACGCTTTCAGACTTTTTCTTCTTGCTTAATAACCTGTTTCTCTCAGGCAGCTGCTCAATCAACCTTTATCTCTTCTTTCATGACACAAAGACACAAGGCACACACCAACTCAACCATATGCACAAATCATATTGTGCATGAGGTAAATAATGAATATTTACTGTCCATGCTGTATTCCATGGTGCTTTATTTCTTCAAATGATTCTCCTCTGTTTTCCCTCTATTTTCACTACAGGCTTCAATCCCTTTATTGTTTTCCTTCATGCTCTTCTTACTTCTTCCTTTCTCAAAGCCTGTATTTAACCCTTATCTCTCTCCTTCTTGTGCGTCCACTCAGGTGCCTTTTTGCTGCCCTACCTGCTGATGGCAGTGTTTGGAGGTGTCCCCCTCTTTTACATGGAGCTGGCTCTTGGCCAGTTCCACAGAAGTGGCTGCATCTCCATCTGGAAACACATCTGTCCTATCTTCAAAGGTAATAGAATGAGTGCAGAGGGGGATGGGAGGGGGAAAAATGGAAATGATTTACTAACTTGGTTAAGAATAGAAGAGGAGAGAACAAACACTTCTTATCCAGACAGACAGACAGTGTGATGCTGAGTGTGAGAAACAACTCATTTGACCTCCTTCATGCCCTCAGTGTGCTTCTCTTGAAGAGCATCCCTAAGTTCTTATACATCTAGCAATATGCAGTGTCTCTCTGTTATGGAAATTGTCACATTTCTATGCCAAATGCCAGATGCCAAGAAACATGATAGTATGTAAATTATTGTTATTCTGAAATGTCAGCCACTTAACCAACAGCAACTTGAATTGACTTGAAATACCACTGATGCTCTTTGAACATCTCGGAAGCGCTGGCTTCATTATTTTAAATGTAAAGTAGATATTCAAGATAGCGCAAGCTTGAGTTTTTCTAAATGCTTATAAAGTGCTAACAATATTTTCTTACATTCATTTAGGTATCGGCTTTGCTATCTGCATCATAGCCCTCTACATAGCCTTCTACTATAACACTATTATGGCCTGGGCTTTGTACTACCTACTGTCATCATTCCGGCCCACCTTGCCCTGGACCACCTGTACCAACAGCTGGAACACTGAAAACTGTAACCTCTACATGTCTACTGACCACAATGTGTCCTGGTCCAACTCCTCCACATCGCCTGCAGAGGAGTTTTATACGTAAGTGCATGACTCACTGATCCAAGATGTCCACAAAGCACTTCTACACTACATGGCCCATTCACCAGATCACGTTCACACACTGATGGCAGAGGCTGCTCTAAAGGGCCCAACTGCCTATCAGCACTGATCCATTCACACGCATTCACCAGAATTATAAAAAATGTGACATCCATGGATCAGCCTAAATCTAATGTATAACTGAGTTCAATCAGATGCTAATTTGCAAGAATGTAAAAACAGCCTTTAAGTGCCAGAAAGTGCTTTTGACACTTCTGGGATTTGAGTAGTTGAGAGTAGAATCTGAGAGGCTGAAGATGCATGTTAAAGAAACTGTTATGAAACATAACAGCAGGTAATCAGGTGTTAATGAAGTTACTTAGCCTATGTGGTGTATAAACACATTACTAAACGATTGTGTAAAAATGATTACAAAAATTCTTTAGAATGAACCTTGTTGTGAAATAAACAAAACTGAAAGGAATTTGAAATTATCTTAAAAATGACTAAGAAAATATTTGTGCTCGATAACTCTCAATTCACCCGTGATAAGCCTGCCAATACGTGCAGGAGGATTAGGACAGAGGAGGGGGAGAAGAAGTGAGAGAGACAGGCCTTATTGGTAGATAAAAAGATGGATGAGAATGTAATAGTTACTGTAAACATTATCAACACAAATATATTGCCTAACCTCCAAATATGCCATTTTACAAAAAAAATAATCATGACTGACATAATATTTAAACAGATTATGTTTAAATAAATTTACCTTTGGCATGTTTTATCAACTGTAATAAGCATGTCACTGAACTCCTTTTGAGACATGTAAAAACAATGTCTTTGTATTTCAGTACTATCTCCGTCATATAACTTCTATCTGCACTAAGTCTGTGTCCGTCCACTGAGACAGATTATGTTGACTTTTCCTAATTCAGGTTTAACAGAAACAAATTCCCTGACTCAGTCTGGCGCCAGAATTTCCTGTTTTCAACATAAATCATATCTCTGTTTTTTCATGCGAGCTCTGTGTTCTTAACCTGTGACCAGATGTTATCCACACTCTTCATTTCAGCCTCCTTCTTTTTGCCCTGTAGTGCTGTTTTTTGCTTTGTGTGGTTATTGACATAAATTTGCTTCTTTTAATTCCTTGTGAATTTTTTGATTAGTCTGTGTTCCCTTTTTGGTGAACTTTCATTAAATCTCATTCAATCAGTATTTGTAATCAATGTGTGGGAATATATCAGAGTTTAGACTCCCATATCTTTCTATGCTGTCCTGTTATTTTACTTTCATGCTGTCCATTTCTCGATCAGATATTTGCACTTCCTTGTTCTTTCCTTTTCCTTTACTTCCCATGTTTGGAAAACATCCCCTCATCCACCCTATCTGTATTCTTACTTCTTATCTTCCCTATCATTTCCTATTTTTCTCCACATTCTTCTCCTTCCGTTTGGCCTCCCTCCACTTCCTTCTCTTAGTTCCTTTCCCTTTTTCTTGATTTCCACCACTCCTGTGTCTCCCCCTGTTCATGGCTTCAACCTATATGTAATGTCCTCCCTTTTCCTGTTATCACTGTCTATTCTTGTCTCCCCCCTTGTCTTCAAAAATCAATCCCTTCATCCATCCATCTCCCTCCAGTCGCCAGGTGTTGCAGGTCCATCGTTCCCCAGGTCTGCATCAGCTGGGCTCTGTGAGCTGGCAGCTGGCCCTCTGCCTGCTCTTCATCTTCACCATCGTCTACTTCAGCATCTGGAAGGGAGTCAAGACGTCTGGAAAGGTAACTGAGAGGGCGCCTGCATGGTTAATGGGGCAGTCAGTTAGGGTAAATGGATGGAGAAAATTATGAAAATGTTGTTATCCTGTCATTTATTCCCCCAAGGTATACATCATCATCATGAGCACAACATACAGTTTGATAGGCTTAAAGTTAAAACATTCATTATGTGGCCCCATAAAGGGCCAGACATGCACCTAGCTTTTTTTAAATTTATTTTATTTGACCAAGGAAAGATTTACTGGTTCATACAAAGTAATGTGTTGTTAAGACTTCAGCGCTAGAGCTATCAAGATTTACTAAACAGTATTTATAGGATGACTGAATATCTTTGACTGACTACACAAACGATTTGTTCAAAAGAAAAACTTGTTCATTTTGCCTCATTAGGTGGTTTGGGTGACTGCTACCTTCCCCTACCTGGTCCTTCTGGTGTTGCTCGTCCGTGGGGCGACCCTGCCGGGGGCTTGGAGAGGCGTTGTTTTCTATCTCAAACCTGATTGGGAGAAATTGCTCAGCACAACAGTAAGTCAGTTAATGCAACCAAGCACAGCTTCTTTTTTCACTTGTGTTGCCTGGGTTCTTATGATGGTTCTTGTGTTGCCTGGGTTCTTATGATGGTTCTTGTGTTTCCTGAGTTCTTATGATGGTTCTTGTGTTGCCAGGGTTCTTATGATGGTTCTTGTGTTTCCAGGGTTCTTATGATGGTTCTTGTGTTTCCAGGGTTCTTATGATGGTTCTTGTGTTGCCTGGGTTCTTATGATGGTTCTTGTGTTTCCAGGGTTCTTATGATGGTTCTTGTGTTTCCAGGGTTCTTATGATGGTTCTTGTGTTGCCTGGGTTCTTATGATGGTTCTTGTGTTTCCAGGGTTCTTATGATGGTTCTTGTGTTTCCAGGGTTCTTATGATGGTTCTTGTGTTTCCTGAGTTCTTATGATGGTTCTTGTGTTTCCTGAGTTCTTGTGATGGTTCTTGTGTTTCCTGGGTTCTTATGATGGTTCTTGTGTTTCCTGAGTTCTTGTGTTTCCAGGGTTCTTATGATGGTTCTTGTGTTTCCTGGGTTCTTATGATGGTTCTTGTGTTTCCTGGGTTCTTATGATGGTTCTTGTGTTTCCTGGGTTCTTATGATGGTTCTTGTGTTTCCAGGGTTCTTATGATGGTTCTTGTGATGGTCAGGTTATATATGTCTGTTGGGTATCATGCACTATGGGATCTTTTCTGTTGAACTGTATTTAATTATTTTTAGTATTTAGCATTTGTTATGTTCTTGCTGTTGTTTATGTTCTTCTGTGTTTGGTTTAGTTTGTTCTTGTTTTTGCTGTTTGTCAAAGCACTTTGTAAAAGGTGCTATATAAATAAAGTTATTATTATTATTATTATTTTACAATTCTTTGTTGTTATACAAACTCCTTGTCTTGTTAAGGTGTGGATCGATGCAGCAGCTCAGATCTTCTTCTCACTGGGTCCAGGGTTCGGCGTGCTCCTTGCCTTTGCCAGCTACAACCCGTTTCACAACAACTGTTACAAGTGAGATGTCTTCAACAAACATGTGTAAACACTCTGCGATGGCTACACTGTTGATATTTGTTGGAGAACTTCTGTCATCTCACTGTCACCACTCCTCTGCTTTCCCCGTCTCAGAGATGCTTTGGTCACCAGCTCTGTGAATTGTCTGACTAGCTTCCTGTCTGGCTTTGTCATTTTCACTGTGCTGGGCTACATGGCCGAGATGAGGCAGCAGGATGTCGATGCTGTTGCCAAGGACGCCGGTAAGACAATACACCAACACAATCCCAACAACACCTTTACTTGGGTTTCATGAGATATAAATCTAAGTTATTATTATTATTATTTACTTGGTCTTGCATTGTTTCAAACCATGGATCTTGAAAGAATAAAATAAATGTCTAAATCCTAAAACATTTCCTTCTCTCTCCAGGCCCGAGTCTGTTGTTCATCATTTATGCAGAGGCCATAGCAAACATGCCTGCTGCTACTTTCTTCTCCATTATCTTCTTCCTGATGATCATCATGTTGGGTCTGGATAGCACGGTGAGTTTGCAGATTTCTCTTTCAATGTTCAATGGGGTTAACCAAGAGAATATTCTGTTGTCTGAATGTTATGTATCCTCACATCTCCTCCTTCTTGAAGCCTCGTGCTCAGCTCTTATGTGCTCTCCTAGAAACAGAGGTTTAATGTTTGCCCTGCTACAGAGGAGAATGCCTTTGCTGCTATATTATGAGTATGATTTTTCCTCCTCGCTGTTGTTTGTTTTGCTAACAGTTTATGAAAACAATATGACAGGGCTTTCATATTAATATTGTGTGGTGATCTTGTCTCCCTAAGCCTCTGTTTATCTGCTCCAAGGAAGCCAGCTGGAGAGACTCATAAGGCTCTTATCAAGTCCTGATAATCAGTGTAGAATCAGCGTTGGGGTTGCTATGTTACTTCATTTTAGCACTGAGAATATTACAGAAAAACGTGTCAGTGTGCATTGCTTCATGTCCAATTACATGAACATGGAGTCCCTCTATTTTTCTGTGATTGTGCGAGGGCTGTAACACACATCGCCCCTACACTTGTTATTCATAATCATGCTCTGATTATTAAAGATCCTACTATTACTATAGAATAGATCAAACTGATGATTATACAAATTCTTGAAAACTTAAAGATTTATATTAAGTTTCCTCTGTGTATTTAGGCCTTTCTTCTTCTTCTTCTGCCCCTTCAATCTGTTTTTGTTTTGTTTTGTAGGGTGTAGTATCTTCTCTGCTCATGTTGTTCTCCATGACTTCCCCTGTGTCCTCCAGTTTGCAGGGTTGGAGGGGGTGATCACAGCTATGCTAGATGAGTTCCCCCATCTCCTAGTGAAGAGGAGAGAGTGCTTTGTCTTCGGCCTGGTGTGTGTCTGCTACCTCGGAGCTCTCTCCACACTCACATATGTAAGTCAAATAAGTATATTAACAGCTGTATCTCCATAATATGATAATAATAAGAAATATCTATCATGTCTCTTAACACCATTCAATAAAATAGAGCAACAAGCTAATACTTTTCAAAAGTATCTTACACATTTCCACTATATATTTGGTAATTTGATGGTGCACAGTTAAGAATCATCTGAAGTGAGATAAACCCAGTCCCTGAGTTGTAATCTGTTTATCTCCAACCCACATTAAATAAGGACCAAAATGTGTCATTGCTCCATTAAACAATCACCATACCTTTCCAAGATAAAACATCTTTCATACAAGTACTGAGTAATAAGCTTAGCAGACATTCAGCCTGTGTATAACTTGTCTTATCCTCTGTGTCAGGGAGGAGCGTTTGTTGTGAAGCTGTTTGAGGAGTACGCTACAGGCCCTGCAGTCATCACTGTGGTCCTGCTAGAAGTCATCGCTGTCTCCTGGTTCTATGGTATACCTCAGCTATGTTCATTGTGATGTTGGCATTTTGAAACCATCTTATTAATGGCTGTAAAAGTTGTTTGGAGAAGATGACACAACACTGTGTTAACATAAGTTTACAGTATGTACACACTGTGGTGCTGAGGTTACAATATGTCATTTACTCAGCTCAAACATGACAAAAGGAAAATGAAAAAAAAGAAACGTCCTAATATTTTGAGCGTGTTAGTGAGCGTCTGTGTATGTTCCAGGTACCACCCGTTTCTGTAATGACGTCCAGGTCATGATTGGTTTCTCTCCTGGTTTTTTCTGGAGGATCTGCTGGGTGGCCATCTGCCCCTGCTTTCTCCTGGTGAGGCTCTTGTACAGATTTTACACACACACACACACACACACACACACACACACACACACACACACACACACACACACACACACACACACACACACACACACACACACACACACGTAAAAGGAGGCTGATCAAAAGCTGGAAAAATCAATTTGAGACTTAACACAAGAACATGCAGTAACTAGAACAGCTGCTATAATTACCCTTGTATCTGATCCTTGTTGTATCTGACCTCTTTGTGTCCAGTTCATCATCATCAGCTTCCTAGCCTTTCCTCCTGAGGTCAGGTTGTTCCACTACCACTACCCACCATGGACCACTGTCCTGGGATACTGCATCGGTGTTTCCTCATTCATCTGTGTGCCTGCTTACATGGTTTATCACCTGCTCAATGCCAAGGGCACATTCAAACAGGTACGGCATGTCTTCACATTTCACTTAGTATATTTTTAAAAACCCACATGACCCTTTTCTGTATCCTTCTCCTTCTTAGTCATATCCTCGCCTGACCCTTATTCCATTACTGACACCTCTCCAAGAACACGGGATTACCTCTTTTTCATTCCCTTCCATGCACTGTCAGGGTCCACCCTCTCCAGTGAACACATGACAGTAGATCAGATCAGATCAAAGGAGCGAGGGAATAGCACCAGCCGGAGATGAGCTTGAAAAAAGCAGTGAAACATCAAGGCCCTGTAGAGCTACACACATGTATTCAGGGAGGGTTTACACACATTGAACACTCACTCATAAAGGTTTGAGAGAGGCTGAACTAAGATGTGTGTTTTTTGCCATTAGTAGTGCATTAGCATCAGAGCACCCTGCACAACATTTAACATGTTGCTAAATCAGCATAATTAAAAATTTACTTAAAAAGGCAGATTATTCTAGATTCAGACCTTTGACTGTGTCCTTTGTTGATAATATCGCCCACTGACGTGATCCTCCTTGATTTCTGATCTTGAATATAAGCACTAGTTGTAGCCTTACATAATAAAATACAAAAATCCAGATGAAATCCATGTTTTGGACATTATATGTAGGCTAGATATTCAAATAAAAACTGATCTCAGCTCAGGTTTATAAAACCTTTATACACCAATCATTGATTATTATTTGATTTTTATTTCATAAATCTTTAAATAGATTAAAGACTTATTCAACCAATTTCTAAGTAATACATTCATTCATTCATTTATGATGCAAGGCTGTTTTTGCCTTCTTTGTAGTTTATTTCAGTAGGAAAATATAAGTTCAATGTCCTCACTTTGTCTTGCTGCCTCTAAAGTATTCTCCTTTATTCACAGCGTCTGTTAAAGAGTATCACTCCAGTGCCCAGCACTGACCAGCAGAGAAACTTCATCGTCACCAACGCAGTCTGACCAAAACCTGAACAAAAGAAGGTGCCATTCCAGCGACACACAGCGCCCTCTCCTGGACAAACTGCAAAACTACCTAACAAGGGGGCTACCTTTCACCGTCTTTGCCTCTTTTTAATGCATCTTCTCCTCTTGTTGTTAGCGATCTCACACCAAGATGTAGGACCAAAGGAGAAGTTAGAGCTGCAGTGTTAGAGCTTGGTTTAGTTCCTTCAGTTTTAAAGAAGTTGTCAAAGATCACCATGGTAACATCATCTTTTTGTGTGTGTGTTTTATCCAGTCAAAAGTCTTTCTCATAAAGTTACCAACCATTCGTCAGGTTAAACAGGTGACACATATCTTTTATACATTCATATAAATGAATGCTCATATAGACAGAAACTGGAGAAGGCCGGATTGTTTCGCTCCAATCCTCTCTCACCATTAACGGCTATATTTTCCTATCATGCTGGTATGTTATGCATTCGTTGATGTAGAGAAAAATCAGGTATCTTTTTACATCTCTTAATAAAGCCAAATATGTGATACCTGTTTTATTTACATTTCCTAAGATGTTTCAATATTGCAGTTGATGTTATCGTGATGACTGTTAGCCTGTGTGTTTTTTTTTTTTGGTGACCTCTTAAATGAATGACAGTTTTGCAAACAATGTGAAGCACTGTCTGAAAATGGCAAGAGTGTGTGTGTGTGTGTGTGTGTGTGTGTGTGTGTGTGTGTGTGTGTGTGTGTGTGTGTGTGTGTGTGTGTGTGTGTGTGTGTGTGTGTGTGTGTGTGTGTGTGTGTGTGTGTGTGTGTGTGTGTGTGTGTGTGTGTGTGTGTGTGTGTGTGAGACAGAAAGACTGTTATTATTTCTAGTGTAAAAATGGGTCTCAGACAGAATCAACAATGTTTACTGTATTCATTCAATGACTGTAAAATGAGGTGTATTTATTTTTACACGCATCATTGCCACTCACAATCAGTTTGAAAACCATCTCAGTATGTAGTACGGATATTGAAAACAATGATAGTCTAAATAACGTTAGGATCAGAGCTAATAACATCATCAAGGCATTGTTGGAAATCAGCTGCTCTTTACTTTGGACCAAAAGTTGTGTGTGTGTGTGTGTGTGTGTGTGTGTGTGTGTGTGTGTGTGTGTGTGTGTGTGTGTGTGTGTGTGTGTGTGTGTGTGTGTGTGTGTGTGTGTGTGTGTGTGTGTGTGTGTGTGTGTGTGTGTGTGTGTGTGTGTGTGTGTGTGTGTGTGTGTGTGTGTGTGTGTGTGTGTGTGTGTGTGTGTATCTGTGTTTGTAGGAGCAGGAGTTAAAAAAGTTCTTTACATCTACCTGTGTATTTACTAGTGGCTCTGGTAATTGGTGTAATATATTCTGTGAATACCTGTCTCCTCTCTCCATCGATGTGTGAATGTTCGGTGTGCTTGAGTTTGCACCTTGATTAGTGTGCCGGTGCTCACATGGGTGGTTGTGTGGAAAAAAAAGGATTGGAGTTGTTAAGCCCACTTTTATGTGCGCATGCTGTGGTGTGTGTATACTGTACCTCAAGTGTGTGTGTGTGGCGGGGAAGGGGGTGGATGTGTGTTTATTGTGATTCCCTGTTGTCTTGTGAACTGCCAAAATATCTTATGAAGGATGTTAACTCCCTCTTGCCTCTTTCTCTCTTGTACCTCTCAGTTTATGTACGATCTATGTATGGAGAAGTGCACCTGTATAGAATAAAGATAAATAAATATATTGGAAATAACAGATAATAAAGATATATGGGGAAACAAAGTATCTTGTCTGTCAGTTGATTCTTTGAGTCATATGTCAGCTATGTACACATAATGTTGCTGTAGTTTACTTTAGCATGTTTTATTGGAACATACTTATGCAGATTTCAACATAGTGAACATTTAATGTGTACATTTCAACACTTTCCATATCCACACCCAAAACATAGACAGTTGATGTGCACATGTAGTGAGTGAAGATCAGTGCTATACAATACAAAATATTTGAACTAAAACCATCAAGAAAAGAAAAGTATTTATTTGTACGATTTTAACCTCTGTGACAGGTCTTTATTTGTTCATTAAATTGTTTACATTGTATCAAATATTTTATTTATTCTTGAAGTTCACTCTCCATAGTCTACGGACTAACTGTAAAGATATTCAAACAATGTACACATCTACACTTTTTTTTTCTTCTATTTTTTTGTTTTTTGTGCCTTTATTGTAGAGATGAGATGAGGGGAATGACATGCGGGAAAGGAGCTACAGGTGGGATTCGAGCCTGGGTCTCCCGCTTGGAGGACCACAGCCTCCATACATGGGGAGCGCGTTGTAACCACTGTGCCACCAGCGCCTCTACACATCTACACTTAACTGTAAAAGACGCTGTAATGACAATCAAAGGATCTAAACATGAAAATAAATGCTCTGCAAAAAAACATGTTCTATCCACAGGAGCTAGACTCATTACACATATCATATTCAAACATGTTCTCCATCAGTGTACGTATCAGAGGGTGAAGCAAACCACATGGCACAATGAAGAGGACGGGCAGATTCTTGTTAGCTTTGCTTCAGAGGTAGAGTTGGTTGTTCCTGATTCTGAGGGTCAGAGGTCTGAAACCCGCCTCCTGCAGTCTACTTGTCCTTTATCAAGACATTGAATCCAAAATGTCTTCCAAAGACATATCAACAACAGTTTGCATGTGAGAGGGAAACTAGTACATTAGACTCTGCAATGAGCCCACAATAACACAAGTCATTTCAATTGAATCAAATATTTCTCCTTACAAAAGCTTTTAATGATGTCTTTGTCTTCATATGGTAAAACGTATTTAAACTATCATCAATAGTTCTTAGCACTGAGGGACATTATTGTGTTGTTTGTGATTTAGATTCATTAAATCGCATTTCTTGCTTCGTATTGGCTGATAACAATGTTCATGTTCTGCAGTGTGCAGGATTGTATATGCTGGTTAAATAGGTGGTAACATGTTGAGCCTCAACACTGCCAGATTAAAACTGCTGACAAAGTCGCCTAAATGCAGCAACAGGATCAGATCGTTCTTATATAAGTGCAACTCTGTGGGCAAATGGCACAAAGGGCTCCCTGTCCTTGTAACTGTGTTTAACAGTGTGAGAACTCTGTTACTCATTCTAATGGCTGCAGAATAAACTGCTGAAAGACAGGACCACATCTGACATCAAATAACATGTTAAAACAATTACATAAATAGTAATAATGGAAAACTATGTTCAGTTCAAAATATTTGAATTGTTTATGCTTTTGGCCCAGCAGAATGAAGGCTTCAACAGAGGTGAGTGTGTTGCACTGAGCTCCTTTCATTTAACCAACTTATGTCATAATTTACTCTTGTTTAGTTTGTTTATTCCTTTTTGTTGCTTAGTTGTATTTTGTCAGTTGTTTTCTTGTGTTTCTGTTTCCTGTGTCTTTTTCTGTTGATAATCCTGTGGCTCAGTCGGTAGAGTCATCGCCTATCAACCAGAAGGTCAAGGGTTCAATCCCCAGCTGGGCAACATGTCTGATATGTCCTTGGGCAAGACACTTAACACCAAGTTGTTCCCACTGCTATATAAGCTGAAGTCCATTTACCATTTATTCAGAGCATTAATAAATGGTTAATTATGGTTAAGTAAGGCTTATTCAGAGCATTAATAAATGGTTAATTTTGGTTTAGTAATGCTTATTCAGAGCATTAATAAATGGTTAATTATGGTTAAGTAATGCTTATTCAGAGCATTAATAAATGGTTAATCATGGTTAAGTAATGCTTATTCAGAGCATTAATAAATGGTTACTCATGGTTAAGTAATGCTTATTCAGAGCATTAATAAATGGATAATTATGGTTAAGTAATGCTTATATAACATCAACAGTAATGATAGGTTAGGGTGTAAATTAAGAACGTCTACATGAAGATAAAGGAACAATCTAACATCTACATGAAGACCATGGTGTGGTCCACTGATCTCAACCTTTACCAAAAATAAGTCATCAGTTGGAGAATGGACAAGTAAGTGAACAGTCATAAACCTTTAATAAACATTAATAAAAACAGTTTTGTCTTAATGACATGAATTAGCTGTGAACCTCAAGACATGTATCTAAATGAACATCTTTATCAACCATTTAGTAATATTAGTTAATAGGCTTAATTAACATGAAAACCCTTAATTAAGAGACATCTGTTAAGGGTTTCTTAATGTTCATTAATGTATTAAATTACTGTTAATTAAAGCTTATTACTGCATTAACTGATGTTAATAGCATCCTTAATAAGGATTAAATAATGTATTAATTAATACCGTAGACAACATGAACACCCTTAATAAATTATTACTAGGCATTAGTTAACCGTTAGTAACCATTAGTTAAGGCTTAATAATGCCTTAACTAATGTTAATTAATGTACCCTTATTGTAAAGTGTTACCCAAAAGGTATATTTTCAGCTCACATTAATTATACTGTGTATTCCCTTTTATTTTTAAATCCTGCAACATAAAAAAAGATAATTCCCCTTATTATATGAAACCTGAATTATCAATTACAATCAAGTTAGAAGTTCATCTTCTAGTGCAACATAAAAAGTGAGGGCATCATTCATCATTCTTTTATCAAACCTTGCAAGAATTTGAAATTCATGCAGAGAGTACATGTCATTTGGTGTTTATATGGAAAAAGCAATTGTATTTTCCTTAAACAAAAAAAGACAATCTAATGACAAATTGGTATAATAAGTACACCAGAAAGCAGGGAATAAAGGGTATGACACTCAAAACTTCCCATAGTAACCACATGTAGCTAGTGAGTATAGTACATTTTAGGTAGTGAGAATAAACGTTTAGACAAGTGTACGTATGTTAGCATGTACCAGGATGAAATTAAGTTGAACCAAAAATTCAATTTTTGTTTTTTATTTTTTGGAAAATTTTATATCTCTGGGAGTGCACAAAATGGTATTTATCCATACATTTAGTTGTGTGGGAGGGATGTCTCCTTTATTTATAAAGGTGTGAGCTTTATTGTAGCAATTTCCTCTGAGCCTCCGGGACTGATGGACATATCTTGTGTTCTCTGTCTCGCCTTATCACCGCAGATCTATATTAAACAGCATAACACAGCCAGTGTGTCATTCCACCTTTGGTGCACCTGCCATCTCTGAATCAACCACTCACTATTGGGTGTCTATCAAGACAATCTCATTTCATTCCTCTTTCCAGCTCTCATATCTCCTTATTTCTTCTCTCCTATATTAATTTTGGCAACACTCTGTGTTTATGTGTGCATGTATTTATCTTTCTTAAATGTGTCAGTGGGTTCTATTTGATCTGCCCTGTATCGTATTCAAACAGCTCACTATGACTCCTGAGTTTGACATGTCTTTGAAATTCTTTTTTGTCTGCCAGTCTTCCCCTGGCTTTGGGTTTGAATATGTTTTGAAAGCAATCCAGATGGTCACTCTTTTTCTCTGAAAGAAAATCCTGGCATTTACCTTCTTAACTTGCGCCTTCTGTCCCCTCAATCTCTGCATTTTTCCCCCTCTCGTCAGCCTTTCTGCTGATCCCTTGATACTGCTGCTGCCTCTGAAGAAGAGGAAATTAAACTCTTTTTTGTCAGTCCAATATGTCGCTCCTGCCTGTTATCACACAGAAACCTTGCTTTCCAGCAATGCCTGTCTCTCACTCCCCTAATGAACTCATTTTGCACGAAGAAAGAATACATCCTTATCTCTGCAG